GACTTCAAATCCCAAGGACCAGCTGGGCACAGGGACCCTGGGAGGCTAACGTAGGATCAAAAGTTTGAGCCCAGCTGGACAATTTAGCAATTTAGGGAGACCCTGTCTGAAAGTGAAGCATTAAAAAAAGAGCTGGGGTGCAGCTCAGTGCAAAGGGCTTGGGCTCAATCCCTAGTACCACAAACAGAAGCCAGGGACCTGTGTGGGTGTGACAGACTCAGCCAGCACTGAGGACAGCTGTGCCCAGGGGCAGCGGTAAACCCTTTGCCACTCTGCATCCTGCCTGTGGGAGAGTGAGCGTGGGGCTGGCTCTTCTCCATCCCGGAATGGCTTCTTGGGCCCCTCTGAAGCCCATCACACCCTTTGTGCCCCACCCTCAGCCCAACAACCACTGCCTCCAAAATCTGTACTATATGGTAGAAGACAAATCACAGGTTGCACCATAGTGAGACCAACACGGCTCAAAAAATTTTTTAACAAGTGATAAAAGGTATTTGAACAGCATCCGGCTTAGAAGGATAACCAGATGCTGCCCCTGCATGTCACAGAGGGCGGTTTCCACTAGGAGGTTGAGAACACAATCTTATTTGGCAGTGACATTCACTCACACACTGCCACCTCTCCAGGAAGCTGCTCCCTTGAGCTATGAGGCATAGTCCCTGGGACGCTGCAGGAACCCTCAGGCCAGTCACCAGAAACCCTCTCTGCTCTGGCCTCTGCGCAAAGCTCCCCGGGAGCTCCTAGGCATCCACCTCAGGACAACCTGATGAGCTGGGGCCTGCCTGCCTGTTCTAGGGAGGAGGAGGCCCTGAGAGGGTAGGGCCTGGTCTGAGGTGATGGGGCTGTTGGTAGAGCCAGGGTTGGGGGTCCTCTTGTTTGAGCTTTGGGCCATCCACTCCCCTCCTTCAACTAGGGTCTCACTAGCTGCTCTGCCCTCCCTCAGCTTCCCATAATCTGTCTGTACTCCCAAGGCAGGGTGGTCCCCCTACCTCATGACTGTGGATGCGGCTCTCCAAGTCATCCAGGGGCGCTGTGCGGTTTAGTGGAGTTCGGATCCAGGCCAGGAGCTGCTTCTCTATCTGCCCCAGGTCCCCATCCAACTCGGTCATCTGTGTCAGCAGCTTCTGGGCCTGTGGGTTGGCTGGGGCTGAGCCAGCCGGAGCTGGAGCAGAAATGCTGGTGAGGGCTCAGGCCTGCAGTGTACCCTCTCAGGTTCCCATGGTAGGGTTGGGCAGGGCCCAGCCCATGGAGCAATAGCTCCAAAGACTTGCCAGCCCAGCAGCTGGAGTCACTAGGGCAGACATCCCTAATCCGGCCCACTTCCTAGGCCACCTATCACAGTCCCCGGAAGTGGTATATGTGGCTAGGTCCTCCTTATCACAACAACCTCACTTCCCCCGCAGAGCCCAGGTACCCTGCTGTTCCGGGTATGAGGGCTCCAGGAGACTGGCCTTCAGGCGGCTCTGCACTGCAGTCACTTTCTGTTTCAGGGCCTGTAGCTCTGTGACCAGTCTGGAATGAGATCAGAGAAGGACATCCCTCCTCACTCCTTCTGTAGTCACTATGCCAGGGGATACGCATTTGGACAGGGGACAATGGGCAGTGGTCCTGGGTGCCACACCGCTTGGCCCAGGTCACAACCTGCCTTCTGCCCCCAGTATACCTAGGGAGACCCACCTGGAGGCCTGGGCCATGGCTTTGGGGTCTGGTGCAGGGATGCAGAAGCAGGTGGCTGGGGCAGTCTTGGTCTCCCCTCTGGGACCCCGCACAACCCATGTGTATGGGTCAGTGTTGTCCACCAGTGTACAGCGCTCTCCTCTCAGCAGCTGCACCTGGACGATGAGGAGCGGCTCGTGTCAGCTTGGGCAGGGGAAGGAGTAGCATAGGGGCGGGGAACAGAGCGGGGTGGGGGCTGGGGTTGGGAGCCCTGGCTAAGGCCCCAGGGGCAGGGCAGGCAGAGCTTGTACTTCTCCTGAGTCCCAGTCGCAGATGCTGTCCACACGCAGGGGCTGCTGCAGCTTGTTCCTGCGCTGGGGCAGAGGGGCCACCTCCTGGCTTCGCTGCTGCAGATCCCTAATGGCTTTCTCAGCCACTGCCAGCTGCTTCTCCTCTGCCTGCGGGGGACCAGGCAATGGGGGCTCAGGCCAGGCTGCACAGGAGATCACCTGCCTTGCATCTGCCTCCCAAGAGAACCAGGGCCTGGGCTTCATTGAGGGAGGTTTCTGAGTCAGCAATTGGAGGAGCCCCTCCCTGGAGGCCTGGGTGGGCAGACGTGTGGGTTGGGTGCAGGCTAAAGGGGCCTCAAAGCTCTCCCAGGCCGTCCTTGTCATGCTCCATAGGAGCAAACCAAGGTCCAAAGAGAACAGGGGCTCGCTGGTAACTGGGCAGCCTTCTACTCCTCCATGTCAGGATTTGGGGCAGGACTAAGGAGCTAGGGAGGCAGAGGAGAGGCGTGGGAAGACAAGCAGGCCTGATTCCCAGAAGTGACTGCAGAGGGCCTGAGGGGAGGTCTCACCTCCAGCTGTTGCAGCAGTTCTGTGACAGGGCCGGCAGAGTCCCCAGAAACTGTGTTGTACTTGGTGTCCAAGTTGGAACTGAGCTTTGCCAGAGTCTGGCTGACTGCATTGGCCTCTTCCTGGAACTGAGGTCACTGGGTGGTCAGAGGTAGAGCCACTGCCACTGCAGACCAGCTCAACGCAGACGCAAGCCTAATGGTAACCCAAGCTAACCCTGAACCAGGCTAGGGTGCAGCCAGTCGAACAAAACCCAGTGACATCTGCCTGGGCAGTAAGACCTTCTTCAACGGCATGGGCTGCCAATGGGAGCTTTGGGTTCACTGAATGTAGGTCTTCAATGTGTCACACACTTGGATTTGTCCTTCCTGTGCAGTGCGGGCCCCCGTGCCTGTCTCCCTCCAGCCCCTCTGTCCTCACTGGGGCAGGGGCAGGGGCAGGGGAGACTGGGCTGTGCTCGTTCCAGCTGCAGAGAAGCCAGGAGGAGTGTGTTGGAAGAAGCAAACACAGGCCAGGTGGCTGCCCATCTGTAATCCCAGCTCCTCCGGAGCCTGAGGCAGGAAGCTGGCAAGTTTGAAGCCAGTCTGGGCAATGTGGTGAGGCACTGTCTCAAAATGTAAACAGGACCGAGCTGTAGCTCAGAGGTAGAGAGCTTGTTTAGTAAGTGCAAGACCCTGGGTCCAATCTCAGTATAAAAGGAAGGAAGGAGGGAAGGAGGGAAGGAAGGAAGGAAGGAAGGAAGGGAAGAAAGGGAGGAAGGCAGAGAGGGAGGGAGGGAGGGAGGACACAAGAAATATGTGACTGGGAAAATACCATGTAATGACTCCCAGTGAGCTCCTCTGCATTTGTCAAAAGTGTCTGAAACCCTTGGGGGGAAATTACAACTATAAAGAGAATCTAATTGCCTAACAGCATGTCTCAGCCCTTTTTCATCATTCTTTCCCTAACTAGACTTTTTAGATATTTTTTCCCCTTTAATTTTTCTACCATTTCCAAGAACATTTTCCTCCCAGGTCCCGGGCACTGAACCCAGGTCTTTTGTTTTTCTGGGGTTTTTTGTTTTTGTTTTTGTTTTTGTTTTGTTTTTTTGTACTGGGGAGTGCACTCACAACCTCAGGCTTGCCAGGCAGGCACTTAAGCCACTGAGCTAAATCCCCGGCCCTCTTTTTCTGTTTTGAGACAGGGTCTTGCTACATAGCCCAAGCTGGTCTTGGACCTCTGTGTAGCCCAGGCTGGCCTGACTCATTCCTATCCTTCCCCTTGGCTCCCTGAGTGCTGGGATTATAGGCTTCAGCCATCACACCTAACCCAAACCCAGGACTTTTGTGCTGAGCTACATCCCCAATCTTTTTTTTTTTTTTTTTTTAGACCTGGAGGGTCTGGCTAGGCTGCTAAATTGTCCAACCAGGGCTTGAGTTTGTGATCTTCCATCTTCCTGCCTCAGCCTCCCAGAAGGCTGCGATTACAGGTGTGCACCATCATGGCCAGTTGGGCTCTTTTCAGAAGCCTAGGATGGTAGGTGTCCTGTACATGGTGTGGGCACCTGTGCATGCCACCGGGGGACTGCCGGCCCCCCAGCACTCTGGCTGCAGGCTCACCCTGCGGTAGTCTTCCACGTGCTGCAGGTGGCTCTCCTGGCAGATGCACAGATTCAGGAAATTCTGCCACTCCATCTTCAGGGCCTCCTGATGCACCTGCGAAGTGCAGCGCCCGGCGCTCACGCCACGCCCCCCTAGCCCTCGGATTGGCTGGCTCTGGGGCAGGGCGGGACCTGCGCACCTGGATGGGCCCCGCAGCCGGGTGGCCCAGCTCCACCATGCGCTCGCTGTCGTCCTCCAGCTTGTTCACGCTCTGCTCCTGGCCCAGCAGCTCATACTGCTTGAAGTGCTGCGGACGAATGGGGACAAAGAAGCGGTCAGCACCACGCCGGCACTGGCCACCCTGCCGCCTCGCCGCTCTCACTGACCTCGTACTCGAGCCTCAGGCCCGCGGGGTCGGCCATGAGGTCGCTCCAGTCCTGCTGCAGGATGCGGCGCTGCTGCTCGGCCAGGACGCTCAGCTGCCGCGTGCAGGCCTGCAGGTGCGTGTATAGGCTGCCCAGGCTCTGCTTGCGCCACGACGCCGCCTTCTGTGCTCGGACCGGGGGCCGCAGGGAGGGGAGAAAGGGAAGGGGTGGAAGAGGCGCCCATCAGATGCCTCCTAAAGTCCAGCTGGGAAGGCACCGCCCATCCTGCACCCAGCCTCCTCCCCTCTTGCTCACCAGTAGGTCTCTGTATTGGCCTCGGATGTTGGCCAAGTCCTGCCTCGACCAGGAGAGAAACAGGATCAATGAGAGGCAGGGTGCAGGGAGTTAGCAGCCTACATCTGGCCAGCTGTGCCCTCTCCCCAGCGGTCCAGCCGGTCCAGCCCACGCCTAGTGGGAGGAAGGGGCCTGGGGCTGGAGTGGACTCACCGGCCCCACAAGGCTTCGCAACTGCTGCCCGTAGGCCTCGATCTCCCTCTGCAGGATGTTGTGCTCAGCAACCTGCTGCTCCAGGTCCGCTATGCCTGGCCCGTATTGGCCCTCGCTGATCTGCTTCTGCAGAAGAATAGGCCACTCAGCCCTGCCTGAAGGACCCAGGCAGGGGCCCAGAGATCCTTACAGAGCCTCCCTGCCTGCCCTCCCAGCAATCCCATCAGGAGAAGTCGAGTGGGCCAGGTGAGCAGTCCTCCTCTACCACCGGCCTTCATTGTCAGCACAGCGCCTTTGCTGGGGAGCAGCAAGGCCCAAACCCTCACCTCAACATTAGGGTGTCCCGTGAGCCCACTGTACCCACGGTCCAGAAAAACCAACATCTCATCACTCCCTAGGGCTCCCCAAAGGGACAACAGGTCCTTCCTTCTGGAATGTTCTCCCGGCTTCCCTCTGACCCAGCCAAGCCCCCACCTCACACGGGCCTCCTCCTGCAGGAAGCCTTCCCTAACTGCCCCGCCGGCCCCCTGTTCCCTTCCCAGACCCCACCCCATCCCCAGGGTTGGACTCAGGTCAGGGGTGAGCGCTGTGCTGCTGGTCTGCTCCTGGTTGTACCAGTGGTGACTGAGCTTGCACCGTTACGTGCTCCTGACCTGTTTCTGCTCCAGCACGCAGGCCCAGTCGACCCGGGGCTCCACATCCGGCGGCAGCACCATCTTCTCATACAAGGCTCGGTAATCGGCACACTCCTGGGTCACCCGCTCATGCAGCTGCTTGATGCTGCCAGAGGATTGACCTGCGGATCAGGGATGGGCCTCCAGGGACCTCCGTGCCTCCGTCCTGCGCCCCAGCCCACTTACTCTTTCTCAATCTCCTCGGCCTGTGGGTGCCGGAGGCGCTTGGCCTTGTCCACATCCAGGAAGAGATCTTTGAGCAGCACCTCGGCCTCCTTCAGGTTGCGGCCGGTCTCCTGCTGGTGCTGCAGAGCCTGGCTCTGCTCACTGCTCAGCCGGTCCTAGGGGAAGGGACGCCGAGGCTCGCCAGGCCCGGGCCCCCATCCTCCCTATGTGCTGCTGCCGCCAGCCCAAGCCCAGCCCACCGCAGACCCGCGAGGCCCAGGGCTCGGCATCGTGAAGCAGGTAGCAAGCGTGCAGAAGTCCAGGCCACGCTTCCTGCCCCAACGCAGGGAGTAGCAGAGCCGAGAAGGAAGGCCAAGCTCTGTCCCACCGCGTGTGGGGAGCAGACAATGAAGAACCAGGGTGACTGGCCCCTTGTAGCATCATGGACACCCAGATACAACACTGGGCCTCCCATGCCACCTGGCCCGTCCCTGCTGCCTGCGCCTTACCTGCTGCAGCCTCTTCTGGGTCTCTAGGATGTCCCTCTCCACCTGGTCAGCGTTGGCTTGCATGCGGGAGATAAGCAAGGCCAGCTCCTGTGTGGCAGCCCTGGGAGGTGGCAGAGCATAGAGGGTCACACAGGGAGAGGCCCTTTGTGCCCCACCCAGAGGGATCCGCTTCCTCCCACAACCAGGCTCTCTGCCCTGGACTCCTGGATAGTCAGCCTTGGGACTGGGGTTCAGGAAGTGAGCCTCCCGAGTTGGGTCATGAGGTGGCACAGATGGCCTTGGGCTCCCAGCCTCAGCCAGCTGGCCCAGCAGTGAGTCCCACTCTGACCAGCTGCTCTGCTTCCTCAGGCTGGCAGGTGGCTGACCCCAGGAGCCAGTGAATCAACAGCTCAGCCACCAATGGCTGAGCCTGCTGGCTGGGCCCAGGAGAGGCGGTAAAGCTGCCAGGGACAGAGAGCGGCGGAGCAGCCCCTGCCCTGGTGGTCTCTCCCGTCACCCTCAAATAGCTTTGCCTTTGTCAGGCCACACAGTGTTAGAGAAGGAATCAAAAGATGGTTTGGTGCCAGGTGTGGTAGTGCATACCGGTAATCCCAACACTCAGGAGGCTGAGGCAGGAGGATTGCCTCAAGTTTGAGGCCAGCCTGGGCTACACAGCAAAACTATCTCAAAATATAAAAAACAGGGGCTGGGGATTTAGCTCAGCGGCATAAGCGCCTGCCTTGCAAGCAGGCAGTCGTGAGTTCGATCCCTGGTACCGATAAAAAGGAAAAAGACAAAAAAAAAAAAAAAAAAAATTAAAATATAAAAAACAGCAGCTGGGGATTTAGCTCAGTGGCATAAGCACCTGCCTTGCAAGCAGGCAGTTGTGAGTTTGATCCCTGGTACCGATAAAAAGGAAAAAGACAAATAAATAAATAAAAATAAAAAACAGAGGGGGTACCCCACTATTCAGATTCAGGGACCTGAAGTCCAGATGGGGCCCGACTCGTCCTGGGTCTCACAGGGACAGAGGTGTGCAGAGCCTGCTGCTGCATGAGCCCAGGACTCTTTTCCCTCATGGAGTGCTGCTGTTGGTCACACTCTCTGAGGGTCGAGGGGGCCATGCAGACCTAAAAAAGGCAAAGTGGTCCAAGCTTGAGGGGCATGGTACTGTTAGGGTCACAGCTCTAGAAGAGGGGGGCCTTCAGGATGCAGTAAACTTGGTCAAGTGACAGCATCCCCAGGCAGGGGCCGATGCCAGCACAGACACAGCAGTCTGAAAAGGACTGTGGTCCAGAGGTCCTGGGTTTGGCCCTTCTCTATCACCGCTGCTGGGTAATGCCAGACAAATCAGACACATCTCTGTGCCTAAGGTTTCTTACTTATCAAATGGGGCTTGGTTTATCTTGGGTTTTTGAGACAGGGTCTCACTTTGTGGTCTAGGCTCACTTCAATCTCATAGCAATCCTCCTGCCTAAGCCACCAAGAGTGCTGGGATTACAGACGTGTACCACTACACCCAGCAAAGTGGGGTTTTACTGGTATCTTCTTCAGAGCCCGTTGGAAGCCTCAAGTGCAGTTAGTGCTCAGCACTTGGTGGTAGTTTGTTCTGCAGAGGGTGAGCACCTCGAAGGCAGGGCCTGGAGGTTCTGTTTCCGGTGGCATCTCCAGCACCAGGGAGCACTCACAGGGAGCACCACCCACTGTGAGTGCTCGGGGAAGCAGGAGCCCTCTCTGGGGTGCTGCAGATGGAGCTGCCCCAGGGCAGCAGGCACAGCAGCCTGCCTGGACTGGGCTGGTCTCAAGTGACCCGGAAAGGATAGGTCACTCCAGTGAGAGTCTTAACTGCTGTCTTTCCTGTCTTCCCAGAAACCCAGCCTGTGTGCACCCTGATCCCTATCGGGGTAATGGGCGCCCCACCCCAGCCTTTCATCTCTGCTCTTATCTTGACACCCTGACACCCTCGAGAAGGGTGGGCAGTCACCTCCTCCTGCCAAGAGGCTGAAGGCGTAAGCTGGAAGAAGGCGGCCTGGTCTGTGTGCAGAGAGAGCCACGGCGCCCCCTCCACACCGCGGTGCAAAGGAACTCCAGCTCTTACCACCCGCCACAGGCCAGGATGAGAACTTGGGAAAACTGCTTGGGGTGGAGGTAACAGAGTCACAGCGGCCACCTCCCTCTCACCTTCCACCTCCTGGGCCTGCCTACCTTCACCCAGGCTGAAGATGGTCCCAGCCAAGCGGAGCCTTGAGAGCAGAGCCCTGGACAAGAGCCAGGTCCAGCAGCCTGTGGGCCTCTCCCCCCACCTCTCCTGCAGAGAGGCCTCCAGGAGTGGCCCTCAGGAGCCATGGCCATCATCCGCTTCCTGCCAGGGCTGGAGCATAGCCTGGGCCAGAGGCTCCTGAGGTGGGAGAGCATCCACCCCCGGGCCCTTTGGCTTGGGGATACCCAATGCCGGTCTCAGATGTCACCTCCAGGTGGCTGGACACCTGGGTCCCTGCCCCACCCAGACCCCAGCTCCTCAATCCCCTGGCACCCGCTCACCGGCTGTGCTTGCTGGGGGAGCCTTTGGGGGATCCTTTGGCTGGAGAGCTCTTGGGGGATCCCTTGGCCCAGGAGTCCTTGGAGGACCCCTTCCCCTGGGAGCCTTTGCTCAGCCCCTTGAACATGGTGGTAAAGGCAGGTGCCGGCTCAGGCTGGGCTCCCCGCAGGGCAGGAGGGCAGCAGACGGCGGTGTGCGTCCTCGGCGGCTGCCTGGCCAGGCTGTGGTACTGCAGGGCTGCCAGGGGAAGGCAGTTTCTGCAAGGCCCCTCCCTGCAGGTGAGGGCTCCCGCCTGGGCCTGACTGCTGCGCATGCCCCACTGCTCCTGCATAACCAGTCTGGGAGGAAAGGGCATGGCCTAGAGGCGGGGCGCCTAGCAACTGACTGACTCCCACAGAGGCTTGGACCTGCTGAGCCCTCATCTCAGGAGGCGTGCACAGAGACCCCACCCAGATGGGTGGGGAAATAGCTGGGCGGGAGGGATGGCGGGCACCGGTGGACAAGCAGGCACAGGCTGGCGGAGAGGCCCAGCCCTGGAGCTCAGCACAGAGGCCCTGCGATCAGGCTGGTCCCCACCTAAGAAAGCTGCTGGGAAAGGTGTGGCCGGGGCCTGCTCTCCACTCCCATGGGGCCGCCAGGGACATTCACAACTGCCTTTTTAAAATCCGTATTTTATTTATTTTTTTCAAATCCATTTTATTTATTTCAAGAAAAAACAAAAGGAGAAAGAGGAGGAGAAGAAGAAGAGGAAGAAGAAGAAAAAAAAGAAGACGAAGAAGAAGAAAGATAGATATGGGTCCAATTTTAATCTTTGGCATATGTAGAGCCAGTTTTTCCAACACCATTTATTAAAGAGGCTGTCTTTCTTCCAGTGAATGCGTTTGGCACCTTTGTTAAAGAGGAGGTGGCTGAGTGTGTCTGCAGTTGTTTCTGCATCTTCTAATCTATTCCCTTGATCTTTGGGTCTGGTTTTTTTTTTTTTTTTTTCCCCAATTCCACACTGTTTTTATCTCAGTAACTTTACAGTATAATTTCATTTTATTTTTACACTTTTTTTTTTTTCTTTTTACCGGCACTGGGGATCGAACTCACGACCACCTGCTTCCAAGGCAGGTGCTTATGCCACTGAGCTAATTTCAAATCAGGGTTGGTGATGCCACCTGTCCTGTCCTTGTTGCCCAGGATTGTCTTTGCTATTCTAGGTCTCTTCTGGCTCCAGATGAATTTTATTATTGCTTTCTCTATTTGTGTGAGATATGCTGTTGGAATTTTGGTTGGAATTGCCTCGAATCTGTATAACAATTTTAGAAGTATGGCCATTTTCACTAGATAGGTTCTTCCTACTCAAGAGCATGGGATAGCTCTCCATTTTCTAATATCCTCTCTAATTTCCTTTTTCAATGTAGAAGTTTTTTACATCCTTTGACGTTTCATTTTTTGGATGCTATTGTAAAAGGTATTACTACCTGATTTCTCTCTCTGAGAGTTTGTTATTTGTATATAGGAAGGCTATTGATTTTTGAGTGTTGACTTTGTAACCAGCTATGTTACTGGATTTGCTTATTTATTTATTTATTTTGTGCTGGGGATCAAACTCAGGACCTCGTGCTTGCCAGATACTTATGCCACTGAGCTAAACCCTCAGCCCCCTGCTTGTTTTAAATTCTTTTTTTTTTTTTTTTTTTTTTTTGATACCAGGGATCAAACTTATGACCTCATGTTTGCCAGGCAGGTGCTTTTTTTTTTTTTTTTTTTTTTTTTTTTTGGTCTTTTTCCTTTTTATCGGTACCGGGGATGGAACTCAAGACCGCCTGCTTGCAAGGCAGGTGCTTATGCCGCTGAGCTAAACCTCCAGCCCCGCCAGGCAGGTGCTTACGCCACTGAGCTAAATCTCCAGCTGGAGCGGATTCTTGTGTCCCATTTATTTTTATTTTTGAGAGAAAGTCTCATTGAGTTGCTACGTTGTCCACGCTTGGCTCAAACTTGACATCCTCCTGCCTCAGCCTCCAGAGTAGTAGAGATTACAGGTGTGTGTCATGATGCCTGGCAACCTCCTGGTACTACTAGAGCCTCAGGATCTAGAGGAAGGGACTGACCCCCCCCCCAATCCTTCCAGGCGCTCAGCAGCCCAGCCCCAAAGTCCTTTCTACACTGATAGTCACTCATGGACTCGCTCTGAGAACAACACAGTTTGGGGGAAGGAGGGCTGGAAGGAGAGCAAGTGGAGGGAACACAGTCACACCAGGACATCCTGGCCGGCCTAGGACAGAATGCAGCCCGGCCTACGGGAAAGGTCCCGGCAGACTGGGGAGATGGAGCCCAGTGGGACCGAAGAGGCCTCAGGCACAAGCTGCTGCCCTTGGTGGCCTGGGAGTCCCCCATTCCTGAGGAGAGGGGCTGACAGTGGCAGTGGGGCAGGGCGGGCCACAGCGGGCCTTGCCTAAACAAGCAGCAATAGGAAACAAGGCAGCCGGACATGACCTCTGCTCCGAGGCAAGATGAGTGACACGGTGCCCGAGAGGAGAGGCTTCCTGGAGGTGGTGGCCATGAGAGGTAGGCATGATGGGGACAGGGAGGTCCTAACTCCAGTAGAAGTCTAGTCTGTGGGAGCTCTGCCCCGTGGCTGCAGGAGGCCTCCTGGAAATACACGCGTGCTTCCAGGGCTCTCCCAAGCCGAGACCCAGGACTAAATGATTCACTGCAAGGAGAACAAGAGCTTGCTCCTTGGCATGACTGTCGGCTGCCAGGTCACACTGGGGGGCTGGCTCCACAGAGGAGGGCAGCCTGGGCTCTAAGGTGACTCACCACTGTGGGGTGCTCCTGCCCATATGGCAGGGACCCTTGGATAGGGACAAAAAAAGTGTTGTTGTCTTCATGTTTCATCTTCTGTCCTGGGGACAAGGAAGAATGTCCCATCCATTTAGAAGCCTGGGCTGGGACTGTCACTCTGCTGAGACCCATGTTATCCCACAGGCTCATCACACATGGCTGTGAGCATCTCAAGGTACCTGGACCAAACTGAGATGCATTTTATGTGTTAGATTCACACAGGATGTAAGAGACTTGCTTACTCTCAATGATGTAAAATGTCTCATTTTTCACTTTTATATTGCTATCTTGGGTACCTTGATGTGGAGGACCACCTGGACCACTCTGCTTGAACAAAGAGCAGTTATCTCAGGCTAAACTTGGCTCTCTCTCCATGCACGGATACGTGCAGAACTGGCCAGGTCATTTCCTTCTCCCTTCAGCTGGTTCTAAGCAATGTAAATAGGGCCGGCTGAGGTGCTGATGCGTAATCTTTGAAACTAGGTAATGATTTTCCTGCACTCTGACTCCCAAAAACATGGGCAGGATGAAGAGACAGCACTCCAGGGCTGTCAACTGAGTGACTTCCCAGGGCCTGAAAGGTTTGCATATCAGAGCTGAGGCACCGCCCCCAAGTTAAATGCTACCTCACTTGAGTTACGCAGATCGGTCTCTCTGCACACCCTTCTCTTTGCACACTGCAGAGGGGCTTTAGGGCCTCCTCCCTAGCCCAGCCCAGAGCACTCATGGATTCCTGCCATTCTCACAGTCACTCATCTGCAAGGCGCTTCCTTCTTTATGAATTAATAAAATCCGGGTTGGGTCCTGGGTAGGGGCCTTTGTTCCCAATGAACCTTCTTCCTGGTTGGATTTAGGGCCCCTGAATCCCCATAACTATAAATATGTCTTAGTGTCTTTATTCTCACTGTGCATTACACTAGAAGTGGTAGATGAGGGTTAATTGATTGGAATTCCAATAACTTTTTCCATGGGATTGCAAATATCAACTTCCCAGATGGAGACAAAGCCATGAGGGCTCTCCATACCCTAAGATATAGGAAATGGGGCAGAGCACATCTTGATGGGTGTGGTGGCAAGGTAGCCTGAATTGCATAGGGAGAACCTGTCTCCAAAATGAAGGAGAAGGAGAAGGAGAAGGAGAAGGAGGAGAAGGAGAAGCAGCAGCAGCTAGTTTGATCTTCCCATAAACCATGCAAACCAGGTGGGGCCCAGGAAGACAAGCCAGATTGCTTTTTCTGAGAGCCAACGGGCTGTGGGCAGAGAATCAAGACTCCACCTCGACCACCACCAAGCAACCACTGGCTCTGAGGACAGGCTGAGTTGATAGCAACCCAGATACAAAAACAAGTGCTTGTACTGTTTGATTGACTTTACAGGACTAAGGCTGGTGGTCTAAGCATCTATTAGGAGGATGACAGTATACAATATGGCAAATATGGGGCTTTCCTTCTTTATCAGTACCAGGGATTGAACTCACGACTGCCTGCTTGCAAGGAAGGCGCTTATGCCACTGAGCTAAATCCCCAACCCCTTCTGTCTTGTTTTTGAAATCCATATTGTTCTCACTGTTTGGCTTTGTTCTGTTTATTGTTTTGTTTTATTCAATGTTCTATTTTTATTGGTTTTATTCTGTTTTGTTTTACTTGATTTTGCTATGTCTGAGAAATTGGACAGCCATTGTGAAGACAACAAGATCTCTTACGGTCGCCATGGTTGATTTCCTGTTGTCCTATTTTGAAGTTCTGTACCACTTTCACTGCTTTGTTTTGATTGCCTTTATTTTGTTTTGTATTGTTGGATTTTATTCTCCTTAAAAAAAACTTTAAAAAGATATATGAAATGGGTTTTAGCTCAGCGGCGTAAGCGCCTGCCTTGCAAGCAGGCAGTCGTGAATTCGATCCCTGGTACTGATAAAAAAAAAAAAAAAAAAGAAAGAAAAAAAAAGATATATGAAATGTATTACTTAATTTCACCTGTTGCTTTTTAGTTTTCAAAATGTGGTTATGATATGGGGGCACAGTGGCCTCACCTGTAGTCCCAATACTTTAGGAGGCTGAGACAGGAAGATTGCAAGTTCAAGCCCAGCCTGGGCAACTGAGGGATTCAAACATAAAATTTTTTTAAAAGGCTGGGGAGGCTGGAGATTTAGCTCAGTGGCATAAGCATGCAATCATGAGTTTGATCCCCAGCACCAAAAAACAAAAAGGCATCTCAGATGAGGTTGTAAAATATTTGGGCTGGGGATTTAGCTCAGTGGCTTAAGCTCCTGCTTGACAAGTGCTAGTTCATGAGTTAGACCCCTGGTACCAAAAAAATATAAAATAAAAAGGCTGGGGATTGTAGCTCAGTGTTCAATCCCCAGTACTGCAAAATAGTAAGACTAGGAAGGAAAAGGTGGGGGAGGAAAAAAATTAGAGATCAAACTGTGGTTCCCAGGAAATTTAAAACTGCTGGTGAGGCTCGTATTTATGGCTTAGCATTCTGTGGGCTCCACTCTGACCCTGCAGTTGGACCAGGAGCAGCCCTGACTGCCAGCTCCCTGAGGCACTGGGCTGCCACGTTTGCCCCTTTGCAGCCCTCACTTCTTTTTTTTTTTTTTTTTTGTCTTTTTCCTTTTTATCGGTAGCGGGAATCGAACTCACGACTGCCTGCTTGCAAGGCAGGCGTTTATGCCGCTGAGCTAAATCTCCAGCCCCAAGCCCTCACTTCTTGTCCTTCCCTTCACCTGCCCTGGCTTCAGCTCCTCTGTGGATTGAGAGGTTTGAGGTCAACTGACGCAGGCCGTGACCGTGAGGTCAACTGGGTCGTGCAGAGCCCATGTGTGCTGAGGTCTACGGGAGCGAACAGACCAGGCTGACTGCCCACATTCAGGCACACAGCTAGCGGGGCCACATGGCCCATGCTTGAGCACCTGGGCACCACTTTCTTCTCCAGCAGCCAGGAGCCTGTCTGGCCCACTGAAGCAAATGGTGGTAATTGATTCTTTTCGTCCTGAAAGCGTAAACTGCTCCTTGGTGAGGGCAGCTCTGCTGTCTCAGAAAATTGCCCTCTGTTTGTTCAACAGCTCACCATCAGACCCTTGGACTGAGGCTGAGCAACAACCTCCCCTCCTTTACCCTCCGGGGCCACCAACAGCAGAAAGGCCTTCCCCAGCGAGGCCTAGGGAGGCTGGAAAGCGGTGAGGGCAGTCAGAGACAGGTACTTCCTTCCATGGGCCAAGCTGTGGGCTTGGGGTACAGGCTGCAACCCCAGGAATCTGGAGGGCTGTTGCGAGGAGGCTCTCTTGGCAGTGAATCTACCCAATGAGTCTGATTTTTTTTTTTTTTTTCTTTTTTATCGGTACCGGGGATTGAACTCATGACCGCCTGCTTGCAAGGCAGGTGCTTATGTCACTGAGCTAAATCCCCAGCCCTACCCAATGAGTCTGATAATGAAGAAATGCCAAGTGCTGAAGGTGTACCCAGAGAGAAGGAAGCAGAGGGCGACAGAGCTTGCCCAGCCTAAGTGTCAGGGAGGAAAGGGTGCTGGGTGTACCTTTGGGGCCTTTCACAGGGAGGAGCCCGAAGCACCATCTGAAAAACTCCAAGCACACCCAATCTTGCCTGTATTGACAACCCTGTGCAAAATGACCAGAGCCCAGTGTTGACCCCGGGAAGTTTTCTGGGTATCTGACCCTCCCTATAAAGTTCCCCTTATCTGGGCTTGGGCCACAGCAGGCAGCCACAGCTCCCCTGGTGGGACCTGGGCAGGACAGGGCCCTGCCAGAGAACCACCAAGCGTAGTCATCCTGCCTTTCAGAGTCTGAGCCGCCCAGTTCTGCTCAGGAGCCACTAGGCCTCCAGGTCATCCCAAATTGCCCTTGGGCTGGGCTCTGGGCCTCTAATAGGACAGATCGTAATCACCAGGTTTGGCGAAGTGTGTCTCTATTGTGCAGAAGTTCAGGTCTGACAGCAACAGCTAAATGACGGTATCTAAGACAAGGTGACAGCTCAGCATGGCAGCTGGAGAAAGCCGAGCTGGCTGTGGCGAAGCTGGTGCGCTGTCTGCCCTGGTCTGAGGAAGAAAACGGTTCATTCATAAAGCAGTCAGATACTACACAAAGGCACAGCTGACAGGCGTCTTCGGGGCTGAGGGTTGGCCTGCTGGAGAGGTGAACACACCAGCTGCTACCTGCTACCCCACAGCTTGTCTTGGGTAGAAGGCAAGCATGGAGGCCGGCTCGGGGCGAGGACCTCTCTGGATGGTGTTTACCAACCAGCTCACTGAGGCTGGCTGCTGGGCCCAGCCATCCGGGGAGACCCTCCTCACTGTCAGGCTGCAGTGAGGACATGCTTGCAGCCCCGCCTTCCCAGGCAGCTGAAGCAATGAATGCCGCAGGTTCTGTAGGCGAGGCAGAGGAGCTCATGGTTGGGTCGGCTGGGCAGGACCACAGGCCAGCAAGTGTGGGCAGGGATACTGGCACTTGGGGGATCCTGGAGTCCTGCTTCTCCCCTTCCTACTCTTTTGGGGCTGTGGGGGTGGCAGACAACCACCCCTAATTCCCTAAGATAGCTAGAGCTAAAAGCACTGCTTCCTATCACTGGATTGCTGGGAAAAGTTCATCTTAAAGGAAATAATGTGTTTAACTACAGATTGAACAAGAGAGCATAGCTGGGCCTGGTGGCACAAACCTGTAATCCCAGCATTCGGTGAGGCTGAGGCAGGAGCATCCTAAATTCCAGCAGAGTCTGGGAAATTAACATTTTTTAAAAGGACTGGAGCTGTACCTCAATATGAAGGCCCTGGGCCCAATTCCCGGCTCCCCTCCAGCTGCCTGAACGTTCTCTGCATCTCAGCAACAGCTGGGAACTGCTCAGTAGATGGCCTCTGACGGGGCAGTGAGAGCGAACAGGAGAAGCCTGTCCACAGGGCAGAAGCCATGCAGACAGCAGGCTGAGACCACGGTACACTACCAGCTTCCAAAGAGCCTCGCAAGCGTCCCATCTGAGATTACACTTTCAGCCTGTATGAGGTTTGATAGAAAAAGTGCATTTAATTTAAAAAATTGATTACCCTCTTACTTCAGAGGCACTGGTCCCATCCTGATTTCCATTTTCTGAAGCAGCCTTTCACTTGTGTCTTTAAGGGTCAGGGATTTAGCTTGGTGGCTCAAATGCCTGCCTACCAAGTACGAGGTTGTGAGTTTGATTCCCGGTACCAAAACAAAACAAAAAAACAAAAACCCACATTAGCGTCTTTAGTTATGGTGTCGTGGCTTCCTGAAAGTCCTGAGCAGACATTTCCTTTCACGGGCTTTTGAGGAAGAGCCAGTTCTCACCCAGTGCCAGGGCTGGTGGGTAAAGTGGCCGAGGACACACTGTACTTGCTTTGCTCACATATGCCCGATTGTACCTCATAAACCTGAAAGAGGACTTCCAGAGCTGCCTCAGAGCACAGCAAGAACAGTGGGAGAAGCGTGTTCAATAAGAGGTGGAGGATTCTCAGAGGGTGTTAACGGCAATGTCGTTTCCTGTAATAAATTTTAAAATTTCCATCTTCACTGTATTGTTTGATCACTCCTTGTCCCTTTCTTTAAATTATACTGCTAAGGTGACACTTGCGGAGACTGCTCGGTGTTGGTGGTACAGGCAGCATCACGAGATCAGGGCTGGATTTCCCGTGTGCCCCAGGAAGCCAGCCTCCCGGCCTGCCCCAGGGCGTGTCCCCACCGCAGTTCCTTCCCCGGCTCTGCAGAACTCTGGCACTCATCACATGAGCGACCATAACCCCTCAGGCCCACAGGTTATAGGTTCTTCCAGTTGTGGCTGTCAGGATTCTGGCAACTTCCAATTTCTCTTTGCTTTGGAGCACCCATCAATTTTACAGTGAAATCTCCTCTGTAGCAACAAGTGTTGTAAAAAAAAATCAGAACACATTTTTTGCCATCTTTAGTAAAGGCCTATTTTCCTAGGCCTCTGAGTGTTCCAACCTTTTCTAGGTTGCAAACAGCAACAGCCTGTTTAGAATTCTGTGATCAATTAGCTTTTTGTGTAGTTAATGATACTAATGTGCACAAAATGAGCACTGCCCCAGGGATGACAGTGAAGAGAATGTAGTCCCTTCCCTTGAAGGCCTGGGCTACACGGAGGCTGCCCTTGAATGGGCACAAGGGGCTGGACAGAGGCAGAGCAGGACAGTGGAAAACCTCGCAAGGAGCCAGGCACAGCCTGTCCCCTCACAATGTGGTGGACCGAGGTGCAAGGCACAGAGGTGCCCCAGAAGCCAGAGCACGAGCTTGGCCATGGCAGAGAATGGGTACTGGGAGATGCAGGGCCTCAAAGCACTGGGAGTAGGGGAGTGGGAACATGAAACCCCAGTGCAACCCAGACCCCGAGGGCCATGATCCTGCTGGAGCAAAGCCAGACTCGACCTGAGGTCAGTGTCTGCGCATCTCCATAGGGAGAGGAGGAGGAAGCCCTGTGGCACACATACAGAAACTTTCAAATAAAGAATCAAGAGCAGGCAGCGGCTCGGCGGCTCAGTACCAACCAGGGCCCCGGGTTGGACCTTCCGTACCGCACGCACACACACCTGCACGCAGGAAAGAGATCGGCCTCCTGAGGAGCTCAACCCCAACTCCTATCCCCAAGTTCTCCAGTCCTCTAATAAGGCCACCGTGCGGCCACTCTTCCTACAGTCCCCGGCCTCCCCTACCGGCTGCCTTGCAGGTACACTCCCCAGCCCACGTCTCGTCTCTGATATGGGATAAGCGACCTTTGATTTCCAAAGGGAATCAAGGTGTCAGGTACACTGCATGTTTAAAGCACTTTTATTCCTTCTTTCTTACATTGCCTTTGTGGCATCCATTACTGATGCCATAGCAGAAATTAAAATAGGATGACTGAGTAAAAAAGTAAAAGGGTAAGGAAGATTAAAATGCGATGGCATCTAAACATCACAGAACTCTTAAACAGTGCCTCCACCACCTCTTGCATCCGGCCGCAAGCACACTCGGCTGCCAAGGAGTCAGGGTGCACCTGACCTCACGGAGTCACTCACCCAGGTCCTGTGGGAGAACTGGGCTGGGCGTGAGGCTGGGTGTAAAAAACAGGCACAGTCTCCATCATCTTTGCCTTTTAATAAAAGATTTGGTTTCATAATTTTTGTGTGTAACATATTTCTTCTAAAAATAGAGCTCTCTGCTTGTTCGGAAACTGTTTACCTGGAGATGAAGGGATAAGGCTGACTGTAACTCTGAAGTGACACCGCCAATGTACGCTTGTCACGGACAACACTTCCAGGGCTCCTGGATGCTTACAGCAAGAGCGAGTCCCTTCCAAATCCATGGTACCGAGGACACAGGACAGACATTCCAAGGTCCCACTGTGCTTTGCATGGAGCCCTTAATGTACCATGGACCACAGTAATTGGTCCTGGTTCACTGGGCACCAGGCAGCAGTGGTGCCCCAGAGGTATAGGAGACACAATGAGCAGACACAGGGTCCCAAAGACGCCAGGTGCCATTCTCACACGTGGGCTAAGAATGTAAGTGCACAAACACAAGATATAGGAACACAGGGCTAAAGGTGCTGCACTCCCACCCTGGGCCAATGCAGACCTGGATTTTAATAGCATGGAACTCGCTGGGGCTTCGTCATGATACAGCTGAAGTCAGACTCTCTTCGCCAGAGAAAGAGCCTGGTTAGCTCCTGAATCCAAAGATGCCCTTGATGTATCCAGTGAGACCGCTTTTGGTCTTCTGCTCCAACTTGTCCTCAAGGGGCGGGAAGGCCACATGGTTGAGGGCCAGGTCGAAGAACAAAGGCTTGCAAGGAACTGGCTGGAACCCAGGTGGGAAGTGCACGAGGCTGGCTTGCTTGGTGACGAGAGACGGGTCCAGGCAAAAGGTGTCAAACCGTTCAACCAGGGGCTGGAAGTCAAAGCAGAGGTATTAATCCCCTGCATACCTGGTGGCACGATCGCTATGCCTGAGCACCCAGCTCACTCAGTCCCACAGCCTCCTGCCACGAGGGCATCAGTCCCCACCCTACACCCTGGGGGCACCAGAGGACGCAGGCAGCTGAACATTCAGGCAAGGCCTCTGACTCAGTGGTGCCACTCTGCACAGCCACCATTTCTTCTACCTTCTTTTCTAGGGTGATCCAGACCCCTAACTACACAGGGAGCTTGCTGATCTCTGAGGACAAGAAGGGAGGGAAACAGAAATCAAGGGCCCTCTGCCCTTTTATTGTGAGCACCTAACTCAAGAACAATGGTGGTGAATGCATGGCATGTGTGCACAGTGACTGCATATGTCACTGAAAGCTCTAAGAGGTTTGCCACTGCAGTCCTAGAGCCACTAACACTGCTCTCTCTCTCCAGAGCCACAACTGTATGTACCTTATTGTCCTTCACTTGGGAGGAAGTCTCTGTTTGATGAGCATCATTTGCATCTGAAAATTTCAGAAAAATTCAGTAAGAACAGGGACCTTGGGGGCTGGGGATTTAGCTCAGCGGCATAAGCACCTGCCTTGCAAGCAGGCAGTTGTGAGTTCGATCCTTGGTACCAATAAAAAAAAAAAGAAAAAGAACAGGGACCTTGCATGCTGTAGTTATAAATGAAGCCCATCACACACACACACACACCTTTTAAATCTTAATGACTAAAATCCTCTCTCTCCTAAGTCCCAATTTTGCTAGAAGTGGTGTAAATAGCAATAAATTCTAAGTGCAGCAGCATCAGCCCAGGGAAGGTAGTAGAGGGAAAAGGGACATGTGACAATGTTTCTCTAAATGCCTGAATGTCACCATACAGCTACACTGTACAATGTAGGGCCTCACGGGGCAGAGATAAAGGCCAGGAAGATGAAAACCTGCAAGGTTAGCACGAGCAACCTCTTTCAGCCTCAGAACAGTAAGAGGGAGGTGGGGTGGCGATGAAGGGGATGGGGGGGAAAGGGAGCGGGGGGGGGGGGAACGGACGACGGGACGGGACACGGGACCCACACCCAGCCAAGACCAGGCAGAGGCTCACCCAGGATGGCAGCGGCTTGCAGGGAGCACTTCTCTGACCGCACTTGGGTGATGAGCTCTTGCACATCAGGTAGGTCCTGCAACAAGTCCAAGAACTCATGCTCAGAGTGGGCAGCGCCAGGTAGGAGCCCCCTGCCTCCCTCACTAAGCTGGAGGAGGGATCCACTGGGACTTTCAGAGGATTCTGGATTCTTCATATACTTCTAATTAAATAAAACAACAAAAAACCCAGCCTGTTTCAAGCAGCAAAAGCTATACCAAGACTTAAGTGACAGTAACATCTGGACCTATAAATTATGCGCTCTAAGTGTATCACATGCCAGGCACTGTCCTAGGCAGTTTAATTGGCAATTTAAGCAGCATGACGCTCTTGCAGTGGTCTGTCCTCTCATGCGGCGGGTAAGACTCCTGGAGCACGGAGAGGTGCTGGTCACATAAAGTGTGGCAGGACTGCCACATCCCTGGTTTTCCTGTGGGTGGAGTCTGGCTCTTTGCTTTGTCTCCCACTTGGCAAATGTTTTCTCTCCTGAGATGAACCACCATACTGTTTTTTTTTTTTTTTTTTTTTTGTCTTTTTCGTTTTTATCGGTACTAGGGATCGAACTCATGACCGCACACTTGCAAGGAAGGCGCTTATGCCGCTGAGCGAAATCCCCAGCCCACAATACCGTTTTGTAGCTGTGTCAGAATGGCCTCCCATTGCAGGGTGCCACCACTCTCAACCCACCCTCTGCCCCACACCTGTCCCCTTCCTACCCTCCATCTGTACTCTAGGCCTCTTGGGCTCTTTGTGCTGCTGGAAAGCAAAACCAGGGCTCTGTGCGTGCTGTGACGCTGAGTTGCACCCAGCCCTGGGGCTGCTTTTGGACTTATACACAGGCTCTGGCGTGCAGTCTGACTGAGACTGGCTCTTGCTTTAATCGCTGAGGACTCTAAAAATATCCCAATGTCCATTCCAGATGCTACCAATCAGAACGACGAGCTCTTGGAGTGGGATGTAAACACCCATTTTTAAAATGTCTTGCCTGGCAGTTGCAGCCAAGTCAACTTCAGTGTTTTGTTTTGCCCACCCAAATCCACAGCAGCTAGAAGGCATTAGTCACACAGTCTGCAGCTAAGGGCAACCCCAGGTGACTCTTCCGAGAAGCAGGCCTGGGTCCAGCCCTGCAGGCACAGCCCTTGCTCCCTACACAGCTTCCTGGGGCTGACCACCGGCAGCGAGCTGGGCTTACCTTCAAGCTGTTCTTGAAAGCTCCCGAGTCAGAATTCACTTCGTTTGCGTATTTCAGGACTCGGTCATACAGGACAAGGGCTTCGCTCCACTTTTTCACCAACACGTAGGACTGAGCAATGAAAAAACACCTGATGGGGAGGGAGAAGAGCCACAATATTCTAAAGCAACAACTGCCCAAGACCACGGCTTTCTCTGCAGCTTAGGCCGAATTTTCCATTTGGGAACAGTATCTTTTTTCCAGGTATAATTTTTTTTTTGTCTTTTTCATTTTTTTATCGGTACTGGGGATCGAATTCATGACCGCCTGCTTGCAAGGCAGGTACTTATGCCACTGAGCTAAACCCCCAGCCCCCAGGTATAATTTTTTTTAAAATTATTTTTGATATGCTGGGGATTTAGCTCAGCAGCATAAGCACCTGCCTTACAAACCTGTGGTTGTGGGTTCGATCCCCAGTACCAATTAAGGAAAAAAAAAAAAAAGAAAAAGGCAAACAAAAATTATTTTTGATCTACAGTTGGCTGAATCTGTAGGTACAAAACCTGGAGACAAGGTGCAAACTGCAGAGTTAAGTGCGACTGTGTGCACGTGCGTTCATTCTGTGTCCTTGGGAACAGGATTTTTCTTTTGTAGTACTAGGGATTGAACCCAGGGTCTTCATACTAAACTACAACCTCAGCCTTTTCAAATGTTTCTGACGTATTTTTTGACTTAATTTATTCATTTATTTTTGGTTTCAGGAATTGAACTCAGGACCTTGTGCTTGCCAGGCAGGAGCTATGCTATTGAGCTATATCTACCTGGCCCTGTTTTTTTTTTTTTTTTTTTAATTTTGAGATAGGATCTCGCTAATTCACTAAGTGGCCCAGCTTGGGTGTGAACTTGCAATCTTCCTGCCTCAGTCTCCTGGAATGCAGGGAATCTGGGTGTACACCACCAACTCGAGTTTGAAAACAGGATTCTTAGCTCAGGCTGACTGCACAGGAGCCCACGTTACTGGAAGGTTCGGGTTCCCAGGGCTAACATGCAGGTCCTTCCCAACGGCTGGAGACGGTCGTGCAGGTCCAACACACAGCACCACCTTTCGCTTAGCCGGCTGGATTGCCCAAAGGGGCAGTTCCCAAATGGAGGACGGGGACAGCAAGAGGCCTGGGAGTGTTTGGCTCAAATATGAATTCCATCCGCCACCATCTACACATCTATATAGCATCATCTCTGTTCCTGTCTTTTTAAAAAACAAAACCAAGGAAAGTTTTTCCTCACTGAATTTCTTCTACTGGGCTCAAAGAAGCCTGAGTACTTCTGGACTGTTTTTGTTCTTTGGAAGGATGGAGACAGAGGCCAGCACCTTCACACAGGCTGTGACAGCACACCAGGCTCACCACTGACCTGACAGGACAGGAGGGGCCACATGAACAGCAGGCCTGACAACAAAGGTGTGTACACCCGAGGCTGTGCTGCCCTTCAGTGCAGACTCCATCTGCCATCCAGCCCGCTCCGAGTCACCGTGATTTGCTTAAGGACCTGAGGTGTCTTAGCGTTAGCCCAGGTCAGGTCAGGCTTCCTGAATTAGCCACTCTGGCTCTGTAATAACATCCTTCCTAGTGCTGTCACCTTTCCACTGGAGAAGAGGGGGAAGAAAAGGAGGCCGAGCTTAATGTGCGCTGTCTGACTCCTCCGGCCCATCCAAAGAACGAACAAGGAACACTGGATCCTACTCGCTGCAATCACAGGACGGGATTTCCCACAAACACACTGGGCTAAGCACTGTCCACTCCAGGTGAGGCAGCCACACGGTCAGGGCTGGCAACTCCAGGGCCCAAAGCGTACAGGACCGCTGGCAGCAGAGGAGAGCCTGGCCCTCTCAGGATGTTACCTGTAAGCCTTGAACACCAGGGTCTTGAGGCCTATCTCTTTTTGGAAAGCTCTGTCCTCCTCTAAGCCAGGAAGCTGCAGTAACTCCACCAGATTCTGTATAGGAGACGCAAACAGAACATTCATGAGTAGGCCTGCCCTGTAAGAGCAGTTGCAGTTAAAGAGCAGGGAAGAGGGGCTGGGGGTTTAGCTCAGCGGCGTAAGCACCTGCCTTGCAAGCAGGCAGTCGTGAGTTCGATCCCTGGTACCGATAAAAAGGAAAAAGACAAAAAAAAAAAAAAAAAAAAAAGAGCAGGGAAGTCTGCCTCAGAGCAATGGGGCGAAGCCTTGCAGCAGGAGTGGCGGCAGCTCTCCTGGCGCCCGCTCTGCTCCTCTCCGATACCGACAACCTCTTTTCCTTTAATACTCAGCTCATATCCCAGCCACCTTCACAAACTCTTTGGAGCATCTCAGCCAGAAGGTTCTGTCCAGCTCTGGAGTTCTATTTAAGAGTTGCTCACCCACTCAGCAGCAGCACAGACAATGCGCGCATGTGTGTGCTTGTGTGGGTATAGCAATCCTACTACTGCTTGACTGACTCTCAGGAGGCGAAGGCAGTGTGGACTCGGGTCTTTGGATGCTCCACAGCGCCTAGAAAGGATTTTTTTGGGACTGGGCCTACCTAGCTCAGGCTGCTCTCAAATCCATGGGCTCAAGTGATTCTCCTCCCTCAGCCTTGTGCATAGCTGTGCCCACAGGCCTATACCACTAGCCCGGCTACTGGAAGAGCAGCTCACAGAGAGAAGTGTTCTTGAATAGCTGTGGGTTTGCTATCTTTGTGCTTCAAAAGAATTTAACGTGTCTGACATATGGGTGTCACAGACTGAAGAGCTGGCACAAAACCTGTCTTCCGTCCAGTTACTAATTGCTCTTGGCCGTCACGGCCCTGCTGCTTTGTGCAGTCAGTCATTTTGTGTCCCACACTGGTAAAGTACAGTCCCCAGGTCACCTGCAGAATGATGTCATAGAGCCGGATCAGGTCCTGGGGTCTGGGGGAGCGCTTGCTGTCATCCTCCGGCGGCTGCTGCAGCAGAGCCTTCTGTAGACCTTTAGCCATGTTCTCGTTTCTCTTGATGGCTGTTGACAGCTTGATGTAGGTCAGGTAGCTGAAACGCATCACACGTCAGCTCAGGTTACGCTCAGGCCAGCTGAGGCTCTGGGAAAGGCACTGCGCTGTGATTTGAGCCTGCCCTGAGGGAGTATGGGAGTGACAGTGTGTCATGCAGCAGGATTGTGGGGTCTGCAATTTGGCAGCCACTCAGTGGCATACTTACAGGGGGCCAGACTGAGATGAGACCTTATCACAAAAAGTTACTTCAGCTTGAATTACACACTGTGTCTTTTGTCTAAGAGCTACAGAACTCCTGAGTTATAGGACACTGCTGGTACTTAAGGAGGCCCATAGGAGAGACCGGAGATGCAGCTACGGATCTCAAGGGGCAGAGCACAAGGGGCAGAGCACATGCACAAAGCCCTGGATTCCATCCCCAGAACCACAGAAGCCAGATGGGAGCCAGTTTCTGTGGTGGGGACCTGGCCCGTGCCACCAGGACACTGCTCACGCCACACCTGCCCGTGGCCTTCTCTTCTCAGAAACACTGGAAGAGTGTTCCAGTGGTTATGGAATTAGTGACAGACTAACTATACCAACCAACAAGACCCTTTAGTGCTGGGAAAGCTGTCCAATGACTGAACCTCCAAGTCAAGAAGTAGTAACATACACATGTCATTTAGACATTTAGATGGAAATACCAAAAGAATTTGTTGAAAGAATTAAAAACAGCTAATTCTGGGAAATGGGTGAGAAGATCATGAGATAGAAGTAACTCGTCACGCACAGTAGTATGTGCCTGTAATCCCAGCACTCTCAGAAGCTGAGGCAGGAGGGTGGGAAATTTGTGCCCAGATGGTACAACCTAGGGAGAACCTGTTTCAAAATAAAATAATTTTACAAAGGGCTGGGGATGTAGCTAAGTGGTAGGGTGCTCAGCAAGCATATGCAAGGGCCTTGGTTCAATCCTTAGTACCAAACACACTCTCTCAAACACACATGGGCTTAAAGCTGCCCTCCTGATCATGGAAATCTACGATCCTAAAAGTGGAAGACTGGACTCAAAAGCAAGGGGTACCCAAGTTTCCAAGAGCCTTAGCCTCAATGAAAGCTTCAGAGGGCCTTTACAAGGTTCAGTGACCAGATCAACTCTTGACTCTGGGTCTCCTGAACACAAACCAGTCATCTAACCTCTGCTAGCTTCACCCTCCCCACAGGCTGTTCTAACAGGTGACATCTAATTGTTCTTTTTTTTTTTTTTTTCTTATACAGGGTCTTGCTATGCAGTTCACCTTGGCCTTGAACTCACTATGCAGCCCAGGCTGGCCTTGAACTTATGGTGGTCCTCCTGCCGCCTGAGTGCTGGGATTACAGGCCTGTGCCACCACACCCTGACTGACTGCCATTCTTGACTACTGTTCGTGGATCTGGCACCAGCAGTTGCTTTGATACTCAAGAAAATCTCAATCCTTAAGAATGGAAATCAAGGGTAGGAAGGGAATTACTTTTTGTTTTCTTGTGGCACTGCACACTGAAGCCAGGGCCTCTCGAAAGTGAGGCTGGCACCCTGCTGCTGAGCTCTACCTCCAGGTTCTTTCTGAGTTTTTTTTCCTGCTAGAAACAGAACCCAAGGCATCACATGCACACTAGGCGAGCACATTCCCGCTGCTTTGTATCTCCATTCCTGGAGGGTTTTGTTTACTTATATATATGAAGATGTGCAAGGGAGCTGCTAGAGAGAATATGTTTATGCTGTATGTTATAAGCAACAGCTTAGAAATTAAGTTCTTGAAGTCAAGTGGAAAAGAGAATTTGAGAAAAATTCGTTTTCCTAAGTAATATTATTTCAAAAAACTGTCTTTCTTTCTCTCCTGTAACAAAATGATCCATCTTTTTTGTTTGGGAAGGTCATGGAGATTGAACCTATGCCTTGCGTTCTACCACTGACCTACACCTCTAGCCCACTGGGGTCAGCGGTATGATGCTTGCTTAGCATGCACTAGGACTTCCCATCAGTGCGTGTGGACAGACACAGACAGACAGACAGAGAGACAGACACACACACACACACACGAAACCTGAAAAATTAGTTTTAAAATGCATCTGCAAGAGCAAAAGGACAGCAGCCAAGATGAACCTGAGGAAACACTTGGTCAGGAGAGCATTTGTTACTAGCTATCAGGACTTGCTAGAATGTTATGGAAATGTGCCAGCAACATAGACAAATTAATGGAGCAGAAGAGTCCAAAAAAAAAAAAAACACCCAAGGAGAAAACGCACTGCAGACTGAAGGGAAAGGATGCAGAGGTCAATAAACTGTTCCTACCCATGTAACATCCTTACGGAAGAGACCTGAGGCAGACCCTTACCTTATGCAAACTAAAAATTGTCAGACTGAGCTAGCCTTGAATTCGAATAAACTTATCCCTGAAAGGGACAACTTTAAAACAGTCAGAAGACAAAGGAGAATAACTGGGAGGCTGGAACCAGGAAGGAGTGGCTGGCTCTAGAGGGAGAGGCCATGGGAAGCTCTGAGGTTATGGGTTATGCTCACCGCCCCCCCCCCCCACATCAGAGCGTGAACCCCAAGCCTTCACAATAAGCTGTGTCTCCAGCTTTACTTCTGTAATTTTGAGATAGAATCTTGGTAAATTGCCAAGCTGTGCTTGAACTTGCACAGCTTGGCAATTTATGGCCTTAGCTTCCCCAAATGCTGAGATTATAGGTGCATGTACCACCACGCTTGGCTGTTTCAGATTTTAAACTATATGAAAATCTTAAATTAAAAAAATAAATAAAAATAAATCTTAAACTATACATACTATATATTTAATATGAAAATGTAATATATACACTCATGATAAAATGTACCTACATGCATTATTGTTACTTATTTTAAGAAATTATAAATTAAAATGTACATAAACATTATATACACTGTTGTTACAATATTATACTTAAAATACTAAAAGTAGAAAAAATTACAATAACCCTTACCTGTGCAGGTATTGAAGATTAGATACCTTCCCTGACTCCCCTTCAGGGATGTAATCTCTCTGTTTCTGTAGAAAATAAAAAAGATAAAAGGTAAAACAGCCAACTCCATCCTTGGCTCTGACCACCTCCTTCAGTGGTGTGGTCCTAAAGGTTCCCTGAATAAAAACACAGCCTTCAGTTAAGTCTGGGGTCCTCAAACATCACAAATTGATTCATAAATTATATAATGATGGGATCACTTTAAAAACTGGCCCGAGTAACACAATTCAGAAAGACAGCTGGTTTGGGGCTCCTGTCCACTGCCTGGGGCTCTAGAGCCAAGTAGTAAGAAGAAACCAAGGTTCCTCTTGAGGATCTGGGTTTAAAGCCCAGCGTCCACTGCATATGCTCTATGCTGTCCTGAGCTGCCTCCTAGGGACAGTCAAATTGCCCAGCTCACCGAGATGCCCACATCCTAACCTCCAAAATCTGAGAAGATATCACCTCCCAAGGTAGAAGAGGCCTCGTAGACATGAGCATGCATTTCTGGGTTTTAGCCAGCTGTGCCCAGTGTAACCCAGGCTCTTCAGAGGAGAAGAGCAGAAGGGGGTCAGAGACAGAGAAGACATGAGGAGAAGCACAGGGCAGAGGAGAGTGCTGAGCTGCTGGCTTTGAAGCAGAGGAAAGGGTCACAAAGAACTGCAAGTAGCCTCCAGAGGCCAGGAAGTATATTCTTCAGGACAGTGGGAATGGATTCTCCCTAGATTTCCCAATGGCTCCCAGAGGAAAGCAGACTGCAAAGTCTACTTTAAACCACTGACCTCCAAAAGCCTATGTTAACAGGTGTTTTAAGCCACTGGGTTTGTGGAAATGTCATGTAGCTGCACCAGAGAACAGATGCCTCTTTGCTTCACCCTGTCCCTGCACCCTGTAAGATGTCTCCCCATTGCTGCAAATTCAATGCAAGAGAAGGGCCCTGGGAAGGGCCCTCTGGTAAGTGGACGGAAGGTGGCATAAATATGTAATAGCATCTAATGGCAGAAGGAAGCAGATGACTACATGCAGAAAGAAGCAGTTTAATTTAAAATACTGCATTTACTTGAACATTTTTGTTTTGTTTTGTTTTTGTCTTTTTTTCCTTTTCCTTTTTATCGGTACAACTGCCTGCTTGCAAGGCAGGCGCTTATGCCGCTGAGCTAAATCCCCAGCCCCTTTACTTGAACATTTTATACTCAAGGCACTGGAGCAGATGCTGAAACAAATATAAAAGAATAAATAAAATGTTCAAAGGTAATATTAAAGTTACTAACAGGTACTGAGTTTCAGCTTGGGCCAGGGATTTAGCTCAGTGGTGTAAACACCTGCCTGGTAAGGGCGAGGTCATCAGTTCAATCCCCGGTACCAAAAAAAAAAAAAAAAAAAAAAAAAAGAAAAGAAAAGAAAAAAAAGATGCAAGAGCTCTCGGGGAGGGTGCTGGTCATGGTCATATAACACTGTGAATATACTCAACACCATTAGCATGCACTGGAAAACACTTGAGCATAGGACATTTAATTAAGTGTATGCCATCACAATCAAAAAACAGTATTTTTTTTTTTAATACAGTACTTACTACCACACAGACATTTCAGCCTAAGTATAAGATATTTAGAGGATGCAGGGGCCTTTGTGAGCCAGAATGAGGTAGCACACTTCTCATAGATAATAAGCTACGAGCTAGACCTCGAGACCAGGGCATAGAGAGGCAGCACAAAGATCACTCAGGTGTGAGAAGGAAGAATAGCACGTGCTCAGGTGGGAATGGCACATATTGCCCTCTTACAATTCTAGTACTCTGGGAGGCTGAGGCAGGAGTATTGGAAGTTTGAGCCTAGCCAGGGCAACTTCACAATTTAATGACTCTGTTGCAAAATAAGAAAAAGGACTAGGGATATAACTTGGCATAAAGGCCCTAGGTTTAGGGGGCTGGAGGTTTAGCTCAGCGGCACAAGCGCCTGCCTTGGAAGCAAGCAGTCGTGAGTTCGATCCCTGGTATCGATAAAAAGGAAAAAGACAAAAAAAAAAAAAAAAAGGCCCTAGGTTTAGTCTCCAGGAGTGTTAGAAAAAGAAAAAAGAAAGAAAGTAGGAGACTGAGGTAGAGGACTGTGAGGTAGAGAACAGTCCAGCAGCAGCTGGATGCTGGCTTGCAGAATGCTCCTGCACCAACTGTACCTGCCAGAAATGGGGCCTCAAAAGCAGGGCATTAAACACAAGGTGTGTTGGGCATGGTGGCACAGGCCTGTAATCTCAGCACTTGGGAGACTCAGGCAAGAGGATTGCTGCATGTTCAAAGCCAGGGATTACACAGTGAGACCCTGTCTCAAACAAGAAAAAACAAACAAAACAAAACAAAAAACCACCAGAAAACCAACCAACCAACCAATCAACCACATTTAAAACCCAAAATGAAGGGGTAGAGAAGGTATTGAGAACTTCTAATCAAATGAAGCTGTTTTTTCACCCAAAATAGGGTCTCATTATGTAATTCAGGCCTTGAATTTGCAGCCATCCTCCTGTCCCAGCCTCCCAAGTGCTGGAATTACAGGTGTGTGCCACCATGCCTGGAAAATTTATCTGTTTTTGAAATGCTCAGTGGTGTAAGCACCTGCTTTAGGGTAAAAAGCTAATTAAAAAAAAAAGGTGAAAAAAAAAAAAAACCAAACAGGTGGAATCATCAACAGGTGAGCGACATTATGAAGGAAGGTAAGCAGGGGTTTGTGACAGGAACAAAACAGTTCTACTGCGGTCAGCCTGGGTGTGTGTGTGGACCCCAGTGATGACATTAGAAAGCGGGGGCACTGGTAAGAAGCCATCATGATCACGAAGCCATCATGACCATGAAGCCATCATGAAGAGTAGACATGGAGAAATGACTTTCCAATCCTGAGAGCCCAGGGACCCCTGTTGCTTGTCAGCTGGCCACTACATCTGAACACCCCTGCAGCTAAGGAAGGGATGCACGAGACCTCTGGGCCCCAGGTGGGAAGGGGCAGGTCAGGTCCAAGAGTGGCTACATCCTGCGCCAGAGCTGGTGGTCCAGCTGATACCCTACCTGATCTGGCTTGAGCTCCTCCCGAACGGCTTGGATGGCGTCCCGACACTCGCTGAGCATAGACTCAAACAGACGCTCCTTGGTATCTTCACTTTCAGCCTAGAGAAACACAGGTCAGACAGAGACTTTCTCCTGAGTTAACTGCAGTACTATAGCAGGAGCGGGGCCTAGGAGGGCTGTGAGCCTCCTACATCACGTGGACTGCATAGCCCAAATCCCTTCGTCACCACTCCCAACCACAGGGTCTTCTCACAGCCTCATCTCTTATTAATATGGAAATGGGGTGCTTCAGAGAGTAAGCACACCAAATTAGCTATGTGTATAATTGATCTGGAACTTTCTGTCAGGAACAGGTGTGTTACATGTCTTCCCACCACAGAACTTTCTCCTGCTTCCCCTCAGTACTCCAGCCCCTGCTAAGGATCAGCAACTGGCACCCCTGGGAACCTCAGTGATGACACTGGGGCGCTGCTGCGACACATGACATGCAGCATACCAGAAGCATCCTCCCTCCCGTCCTTGCAGGACACACGGTGAAGCTCTGTTCTGGGATGCTGGAATTAGCCTGCACAAATGCAACCCAGCTGGCAGGCACTGCTTTGCCTTTAGGTCCAAACAAGGTACAAACATCACAAATCAGTATCAAAAAGAGGGGCTGGGCATTTAGCTCAGTGGCCTAAGTGTCTACCTGGCAAGCGCAAGGTCAAGAGTTCAATCCTGGTACCAAAAGCAAAACAAAAACTGAAAAGAGATTTCCCCTCAATTTCACACCAAGTTCTTTTCCCTGCAGACATTCTACACTCCGAAGCCCCCCACCTCCTCTGAGAATGATGACATGCTGGGCTGGGTGGGTGTTGCTCTGCTGCACAGCTGGGCTAAGTGAACAAGCCACTGAGTCACTGAGTCACTGCCATATCACATCCTCATCCTGAAGAATCTGACTGAGCAGATGGGAGTGGATGAAAGGCACAAAGAAGATAAACCGGTATTACCGGCGGCAGACCTGCCGTGAAATTAAAACATCAACATTCCATTATGATATGTGACTTTCCCCAGAAACCAACCTCTAGTCTGAAAAAAAAAAGTGTTAACTAGTCACTGAGAAAGTGCAAAAGAGAGCCCAATACCACCATTCCTTCAAAAGATGGTTCGAGGAGCTTAAAAAACAAAGACAAAAAAATTCTGTTTTTCCCTTAAGAAGTCTTACTAGTTTCTAGTGTGAGAAAAGGCTCCCCTGTAAATTACACAATCTATATCAAACACACGCTTCCACTCATGGGTTTCTTGGCTTTCCTGCTGTTCACTAATTCAGGAACACATCAGGGCCCAGGCAGGCAAACTGGACCCCCGTTAGCTCCCTATGACGCCAGGGCAGTGCTGCTGCCAGAGCTTCCAGCAGTGACAAAGTGCTCTCCAACTGGCTTTGTCTGACACAGTGGGCCGTTAGCCCCTGAGCAGGTGAGACTAGTGGATGGAACTAGCCCATGTGTCAGGGGCTACTGTCTCAGATGATGGGCTCTAGAGAGAAACGCTTTAGAGAGCACTGCTAAGCACCCCATGTTGGCAAGATTCTATATAATAATTTATTCAAAGCTGCTGGCCAAATTTTTCAAAGTACAACCTCTATGGAAATGGTACAGCTATATAACACTCACTAAGTGGAATATGATATGTGAATACAGGAAGGAGGCGAAGGGGACACAAAAAGAAATAAAATGTGCTACAGCCAGGTGTGGGGGTGCACACCTGTAATCCCAGCACTTGGGAGGCAGAGGCAGAGAGTTCAAGGCCAGCCTGTACTATATAGTGAGACCCTGTCTCAACACCCTTCCCAAAACAAAACAAAAAACCCAAAAATACGTGTTATGTACATGAACCAACTCTCTACACTGAAAATAATCATGTAGCACATACATGTACTAATAAAAATTTAAATATATATATACAGTATGTGAATACCCTTGGCTTTAAGAAACCAAACAGCCAACTACAAATTTGCAGGAAAAATGAAACAGCACCAGTTTAAATATAAACCACCCACCAAATATGCCACCAACACCCCTTTTCAGATGGGTGTGGTTTGGTAGCTCAGGCAATGGGCATATAAGAAAAAAACCATCTGTTTCACCAGCTACACAGGATGTCTCTTTCTCACTGGTAGCATGTGGCCCAAATTTAAAATTTAAAAGCCTGGGCATGGTGAAGCATCCCTGTAATCTCAGCAAACAGGATCACCATGAGCTCAGTCTCAACTACACAGGGAAACCCTGTCTAAAAAACAAACAACAAACTTAAAAGGAGGCCATGTATTACCTTTATTCACTGTTTCTAAATTACTAGGTCAACTTTGGCAGCAAGGCGCTGAATACAAGCAAACTTCCCTACAGCTCCACAACACTAAATTTCACTGGGAATTTTGCATACATCTCAAGCAACAGTGCCAGAAAACATACGTCTAAAGGGGAGAGCCTAAGATACCCGTGTTTTCTCTGATATCCACACTGCAAGGGGACTCAGACTAATCTCAGAATAGAACTTGTTGGGATTTAACTTGTTCTGCTGCTTACATTTTATTCTAGAAGCTACATTTGAGGCCAAGCATTCCTGAAAGAACCTTGGCACCCTGGACCCCTCGGCATGTAGAGGCAGGACTCCTCATCTGTCCACTGACCTTCCATGAACTAACAAGGACATGTTTCTAACACAAGGAGCAAACTCCCTGAGTATCAGCTTCTCCCATGTGTGCCTATGACACACAGAAACCTCCTACACTAGGGATCTAATCCACAGAAACCTTAAGCCTGGAAGAAAAATGTTGCTCACTGGTCCTAGGAAGGAAATTCTAGATCTCCTTTTACAAAACATGAAACACTTAGGATATGCTTGCCCCAGTCTTGGAGTTTCTCCTCTGGAGACAAGACACAAGGCTGCTGTTTGCCCTGTTATTGGAGATGGATTCACAGGTTGTTTTCACTTGGTTATAAAAATTGCTGAATGATGGTGCTGTGACTAAAAGACACACAAGGCAAGTCTGGCCACATTCCCTGCCACACCCATCAGAGAACTGTAGGGACAGGAACCAGGCCTCACCCAGCCCTGGGAGGTCGGGAAGAAACACATAGAAGCCTGGCTGAAAAAAAGGACAGATCTCACTTAAAAACAGATTTTCTTTTAAAGAAAGGATGGTGTCCCTTCCATTTAAGTATCAAAAACTAAACAGAAATTGAGGCTAAGATTCATCAAGCCTTAGAGATGTTTCCAGAATTGGAAAAAAAAAAAAAAAAAAAGATTCATCAAGCCCAAGCCAGGTGTGATGGTGCACGCCTGTCATCCCAGCACTGGATGAGTTCAAGGCCAGCATGAACTGCATAGTGAAACTGTCTTTTTTCAAATTTTTATCGGTACCAGGGATTGAACTCATGACTGCCTCCTTGCAAGGCAGGCGCTTATATCGCTGAGCTAAATCCCCAGCCCCTTGTGAAAATCTGTCTTAAAAGGACCAAGAAAAAAAAAATCACTAAGCCTATTATTTAAAACCTTCCCTTCCTAAAAAGAGGAGGCCCAAGTACAACCTCACAATGCAACCAGCAATGACCTTCAGGAATGAGCAAATGTTAAGAGCAGAAGAGTCAGGTGTAATGGCACACCCAGCCCTTGGGAGAATAAAGCAGGAGGATCACATTGAGTTCAAGGCCAGCCTGACTAAATGGCAAGACCTAGTCTCAAAAAGCAAAACACAGCAAAATAGCCAGCTTGCTTTGGCAGAACATATGCTAAAACTGGAATACACAGAAGATTAGATTGGTCTGACTCCTGGGCATGCAAACTCATAAAGTGTTTCATATGTATATATATACACACACATATATATACATATGTACATATATACATATGAAACACTTATATATATGAAAAAATATATATATATATATAGTGCCAGGAATTGAATTCAGGACCTTGTGCTTGCCAGGCAGGTACTGTGCCACTGAACTATGTCCCCATGTGAGATAGATTTTTTTCAAAAGGGAAGGAATCAAGAGGTGGAGGGAGGGAGGAAGGAAGAATGAATATAAAAAGAATTAAGGTGTGATGTACATGTATCAACTCCCCACAATGATTGCAATCATTACTGCAAATATATACTAATCAAAAATTTTTGAAGTAAAATAGAAATGAAGTATAAAGTAAGACAGCATTAAGGATGATATCTTAAAGCTTGGCTGAAAGAGACTACAGATTTTGAAATCAGATTTTGGCAGCTCTACCTTTTCAATCTAATATTTTACCCCACTGACTTATTTCTTCTGTGCTTTTCAACAAACTGCTGTTTTAGTATTTTAATGTAATGAAAATCTCTGCCAGCAAGTAGTACCAAACTACTATGCATTCCAGGTTCTGAAGGCTGACAGATACCAATGCCAGTAAGACAAGAGACACTGAAATTAAGGGGAGGCCTATCTTTTTCCAAGTTAGAGAACAGTAACAAACCAGCCAGGCACCAAGTTATCTCTACCCAACAGGCTGACAGTGGTGCCAAGGGGCAAGTGGCTCTGCTTGAGATTAACTTCCACTGGCCAAAGGGTATTTTCTCCTGTGTAATAACCCATGGCTCATTCAACAGTCGTTTAATCAACTATAATGCTGATGGTGAAGATTAACTAGACTTATTCTAACATTACGCTTAAATGACTGTATTTACTAGCTTGTTTTGGGATATGTGTGATGTAAGACATTAACTCCAAATGCTAAAACCTTACAGAATCTCCTGGAGTTCATATACATTTTATTTGATCTAGTTTTTCCTCTGCCTCCTACACTAGGGATCTAATCCACAGCTTTCTCACATGAGCTACATCTTAGCCCTCTCTATATGCTTTCTTTTTTTTTTTTTTTTTTTTTTGTCTTTTTTATTGGTACCAGGGATTGAACTCATGACCACACACTTGCAAGGCAAGTGCTTATGCCGCTGAGCTAAATCCTCAGCCCCTATATGCTTTATTTTGAGACAGGGTCTTGCTAAGTAGCTAAATTGACCAGGCTGGACGCACACTAAGGATTCTCCTACCTCAGCCTCTCAGAGTGCTGGCGTAACAGGTGCGTGCTACTGTACTTGGCTCACCAAGTCTGTCCTATGAAGTCTCTGTATCTCTGATACTAAATCTTTGAAAAAAGATCTGCATGAAAAGAAAACTATAAACCAAGGTCTGGGGATTTAGCTCAGTGGCATGAGCCCTTGCCTGGAAAGTGCGAGGTCGTGAGTTCGATCCCCCCAAAAAAATTTAGGCATGGTGGTAACATGCCTATAATCTCAGCATTTGGGTGGCTGGCGCCAGAGGATTGATAGGAGTTCAAGGCCAGCCTAAACTACATACCCTAGTAAGACACACTCTTAAAAAACCACCCTCCCAGGCCAGGGATACAGCTCGGCATCACGGCAACTACCTGGTATACACGAGGTCATGAGTTTGATTTCTAGTACCAAAAAACCCCCCAAAAAACAAACAAAAAAACCCCACCCCTACCCTCCCAATTATTTATTATTCCTTATAAAAATAGATGCAAGCCAGGCATAGTGGCTCACACCTGTAATTTCAGCACTCGGGAGGCTGAGGCAGGAGGATCATTTAGAGTTCAAGACATGTGGGCCACAAAGTGAGCTCAAGGCCAGCCTGAACTGCATGAAATTGTCTCAAAAAAAAAAAAAAAAAAAAAAGTGCAAAATTTATCAATGTAATAGCAAATATAATCTAGCAATATATAAAAAGTTATATATCACATATCATTATATAATGAACAGTGGGTCATCCAACATAGGTGAGGCTAGTATTAATAAAATATTAATGAAATTCTTGATTCTAAAGGATAAGAACACACCCTTTAATCCCAGCACTTGGAGACTGACCCAGGAGGATTCTGAGTTTGAGGCCAGTCTGGGCTACAAAGTGAGATCGAGGCCAGCCTGAACTACATAGTGACACCCTGTCTCAAAACAAAACAGGGTCAGGGATACAGCTCAGTGCCACAGTGTCTGCTTGGCAAGTGCAAGGTCCTGAGTTCAATTCCTGGTATAAAACAACAACAATAACAAGTAACACAGCCTTCAAACCCTCTACTGTATGTTATAAACAATTAAAAGCCTGAACAAAACAAAAACATACACACAGAAGAAAAAAAAACCCTGCAATAAATAACCTGGTATAGTGGCATATGCCTAAAATCCCAGCACCTAACAGGAAGATCACTAGGGTTGGCTATATAATGAGTTCAAGCCAGCTTAAACTACACAGGGAAACCCTGTCTCAAACAACAACAAAAGAAAACAAATTTTAAAAATCTGAAGCAATATAAATAAGACACAGAAGCTGGTGAATTTCAATGGAAATATTATCACAACACAGAAATTTACCAGCTTCATCACTATGTTCTTTTTTTTTCAATCACTATGTTCTTTTAAAAATGCTTTAAAATTCCCAATATTGATAATTTATAACTTAAATGACTTTATTTAACCAGAAAATATACTTTAAAACCTACATGACATTCTTAATTTGGGCAATCTATTCCACAACACTAACTCAAAATAGGGAAAGACAGATCTAGGCCAAGTATTACTAAATTTTTATTTATAAAGCTACAAACTATGGAGTAGAAATGGCCAGTAAGAAATCTTTTGGTTAAACAGCCTTTGAAAAATGCTGAGCTGGGGACATGTTCGGCAGTGCTGCAGTGGCCCAGCAAGTGTGAGGCCCTGGATATACAAAAAATGGGTAAACAGCATATATTGGCAAACTATTTTTTATTGCCAGTATCTTCAAAATTCTGGTCAATCTTTTTTTTTTTTTTTTTACTAATCAAGTGCAGTAGTGAGAAGGCAGGAAAGAGTAGAACAAGGAGTTCAATCTGTACTGACTATGAACAATCAATTGAGATAATTCACTACCTTAGGACCAGCCAATTCTGGTCAATCTTGAACTGCTTCACAAGGAGTGACTACAATCTATATCTGGAAATTAACTGCTTCCTTTTACTAAAATTCAAGTTTAAGAGGAATCTTTTATTTTATATATTTGTTTTTGTCTTTTTTTTGAGAGGGGGGTTTCGCTATGCAATTCAGGCTGGCCTTGAGCTCACTTTGTAGCCCAGGCTGGTCTCGAACTCGCAACAATCCTCCCACCTCAGCCTCCTGAAGCGCTGGGATTATAGGCATGAGCCACCACGCCTGGCTTAAGAGGAATCTTTTAAACAACATGCACAGAGGTGCTGGAGCATAGCTCAGTGGTCGTGTGTGCTCGAGGACCTACCCAGCACCACAAAACATGAAATGTGCATCGATTTGGTCATTGTCTGATTGTCATGACCTTCAATTTTAAAAACAATGGCTTAAAAAGGTCATTTACAAGGGGCTGGGGATTTAGCTCAGCGGCATAAGCACCTGCCTTGCAAGCAAGTGGTTATGAGTTTGATCCCCGGTATCAGAAAAAAGAAAAAAAAAAGATCATTTACAGTCAATAGGTGTAGTGTGGTGGTAGAGAAAAACTATGCTTAATGTGTAATTAGGCCCTGCATTCAATTTCTAGCACATGCATACACACATATACACATGCACATACACATTTATTTTCCTCTACACTTCAATCACTAACTTTTAACAATGATGGCCAAGTGTAGTGGTGCATGCCTCTAATCCCAGCACTCTGGAGGTTGAGGCAGGTGGATTACTATGAATTTGAGGCCAACTTGGGCTACATAATGAGTTCAAGGCCAGCCTGAACTATACAGGGAGACCTTGTCTCAAAAAATAAATGCATAAATTACATAACAAGTTAGCTTTTCTGGCCCTTTACTCGACACCTGCCCACAGCCCTGTCCCTGAGGAGCCCCCATTTAACTGGCCCTATAGACTTTTCCTACCTTACTCTTTTACTCTAGGCTAGAACTGCTAGGCTAAAATTCCTGTCCCACTCTCAGTGATTCCTGGCATGGAATATATGAGTTCCTTTCTCTAAGCACTCACAACTTCGAAACAGAAACCAATCCCAAACCAACCTAATTATCTAACATTTCTACCAAAGCCCTGCTCTCGTCCAGATGCAACAGTACCGTCAATAGTGCCAGCAGAAGGTTCTCAAAAAGTTTCTCAGTCTTTTAGTTTAACAAAAATTAATTTTCTAGTATTGTTCTATCCTTCAAGCAGATAAAAGGGAAACTGGAGAGCAATACACGAGGATATAAAGTCTTAAGTTGCTGAAAGCTGCCCCCATCTCAAAGCAGCCATTTTAAAATAAGTCCTTGAAAAGTCTGAGTGCTCACTGAGTGTGGTACCACACACCTGTAATCCCAGTGGTCTGGGAGTCCAAGGTGAGAAGGTCCAGCCCAGGCTATTTAGGACTCAGCAAGACCCCTGTCTCAAAAAATAAGACAGAAGGATTGGGGATGTAGCCCAGTGAGAAGTCCCTGGGTACAATTGCCAGTACTGCTGAAACAGATCTGTGACCCCCTCGATAACCCCCACACAGTGATTCAAGGTACAACCAACTATTGCCTCTGGCCCTCGAGAGGCCACAGTCAGTAGCCTGCTTTTCTAAAAGGTGCCCTTCACCTCACATGGAGAAGAAGCTACAAAAAGTGCCTTAGTCACTGTTTGACTCAAACAAGCCAAGAGCACCAGAAACTTCTCTTCGGGGCTGCCCCTGGCTGTTCACAGTGGCAAACAGATGCTGTCAGTGAGGAGCTTCAAGGATAGCTTTGCAGGAACACAATGAACATAACATGTGCCTCACATAAAACAAGACATTCTGGCTTTCAGGAGTCTAACCAGACTGCTGACAAGGGCCAGCAATGAGGCGAATTCTCAGGGCTAGAAGGTCAAGGTGACAGGTCAGAGACCTCAGGGACATAATAAGGCTACTGCACCACTTGCTGGGCTGGATGTGCCCTATCCCAAACTTTAATCCCTCTATAAATTTAGATTTCTAGCTAAGTGTGGCAATGCATATCTGCAACCTCAGCATTTGGGAGGCTGAGGAGGTGGATTACTGCAAGTTCGAGGCCAGCCTGGGCTATATATAGGAAGTTCAAAGCCAGCCTAGATTACACAGAAATACTGCCCTCCTCAAAAAAAAAAAAAAAAAAAAAAAAAGGACAGTGCATCTCCAGCTTTGCTACAACCCAAATTACATTAGTATACTTTTTTTGCTCTATGAAAAGTAAGCAGCAATCAACTATTCTGTCTGAAACACTTTCAGACAATACTTGAGAATACACAGACGAAAAAGCCAAACAGGAGCTTTCTTACCTGGCCAATAGCTGCCTCGTTATCAGCTAGGCCCAGCAGAAAGATCCTCACTTTGTCAATCTTCACTGGCACTGTTCTCCCTCTCCACTCCACTTCACTCATGGTAGCTGCCTGCTTGGCTCGAGTCTGAGTGATCAGTGCCTGGAAAGTGGTTCTAAACGTTAGAGCTGTGACTGCAGAAATGAGTTACAGGAAACCTATTACTTGTCTCTTTTTTATGGTCAATATGTAACTCTTTCAAAGCATACAACATTTCTGCTTACATTGCTCTGTGGTATCATGTATTTGAATTCATGAAAAGTTTAATTTTTTTTCTGCAATCTTACATTTCTTACTTTTTTTGTCTGCAATATTTACTCATAAAATAAGCATAGTAAAGTTAAATTTTTTGTGACAAAGACAGGTTTGGCATGGTAGTACGTGCCTGCAATCTCAGCTATTCAGGAGGCTGAAAGAGAGGATGGGAAGGTGGGCCCAGTCTAGGCAACTTGGTCAAACTTTGTTTTGAAATTTTAAAAAAGGCTGGAGTGGGGCTGGGGATTTAGCTCAGTGGCACAGCACCCACCTGGCCAAGTGTGAGGTCCTGCGTTTGACTCCTGGTATTAACTCCCACAGCCAAAAAAAAGCATAAATAAAAAGGCTAAAGAGGGGCTGGAGATTTAGCTCAGCGGCATAAGCGCCTGCCTTGCAAGCAGGCAGTCGTGAGTTCGATCCCCGGTACCGACAAAAAAGAAAAAGACAAAAAAAAAAAAAAAAAAAAAAAAAGGCTAAAGATACAGCTCATTAAGCTGGGCATGGTGGCACACTCCCAGCACTTGGGAGGCTGAGGCAGGCGGATCACTGCAAGTTCGAGACCACTTTGTAGAGCAGCTACAAAGTGAGCCCAAGGCCAACCCAACTGGCATAGTGAGACCCTGTCTCAAAAAGACAAAACAAACAAACAAAAAACACATCATTGTTCCCTGTGTACAATGCCCCAGTACCACCAAAAAAATAAAAATAAGAAAGATAAAAAGCCAGAAAATGTGCATGTGTGTATACATATGTGTAATATGTATTGGTATAGCTATAAAGATGCATATATTAACAGCAGATATCTGTGGGGGATGGAATTATGAATTTCTTTTTCTAGGTTTTTCAAACCCAAACCTTCTCACACAAGTATACAAACTAAGATTACCTCCAGTTTTTCAGCCAGGAGACCCTCGGCGCCCCCAGACCTCAATCTCATCTGCATAAGTTCATTGATGGCTGACTGGTCCCCTAAGAGAGAAAAATAGGGAGAGAGGAGAAAATCTTAAGGATCTGGTCTGTTTTCTTAAGAATCACTTGATTCACCCCTAACTTACAGGATTTCTTTCCCCTCACAAGCATATCTCAAGAGCGCACAGCTTGATCTATCTTTTTAGGACAAGCCCTTCTACAAAGAATGAATTTGGTCATGGCATTGTAATTGTGCTACATGTCAGGCCACCTTTTTCGAAGCACACAGTGTACAATGGCAAGAACAAATTTTCATTGTGCATCAGTGTAGGCTCAAGCATTGTAACTAATGATAGCTCTATCGGGAGGTGGTGGTAATGTGGGAGGCTGCGCACCATGACGGGAAGGGAGCATACCTTTTTCAGTTTCGCTGTGAACCTAAGAGATCTCAAAAAACATAAAACATGGGGCTGGGGATTTAGCTCAGTGGCATAAGCACCTGCCTTGCAAGCAGGCAGTCGTGAGTTCAATCCCTGGTACTGATAAAGGAAAAAGACAAAAACAAAACAAAACAAAAAAACATGACTTTGACTGAAGACTCAAGACCATTATTGTGGAATACAGAAGATGGTAGGATAGAAACAGAAGCCAAGGGACTCGCCAGTGTGCTGGTAGATGCCTGCAAACCCAGCACTCTGGGAGGCTGAGGCAAGAGGACTGAAAATTCAAGCCCAGCTTGGACAACTTAACAAGACTCTGTCTTGGGGGAAAAAAAAAAGGGTGGAGATGGAGTGCAGTGCAAACGCTCTAGGTTCGGTTCTTATTATCACACAAACAAAAAATCAAAAAGCACAGCACTGGGCTGGGGATTTAGCTCAGCGGCATAAGCGCCTGCCTTGTAAGCAGGTAGTTGTGAGTTCGATCCCTGGTACTGATAAAAAAAACGAAAAAAAAAAAAGCCACAGCACTGCTTTCCATAATGTTGACCAGGTCTGACTCTGACATCAGCCACCACTCAGGCCAAGGATGGATACATGGCAAGGGAACTGAAGTTAAGTAAGTTAAATACATTCCCCAGGCCCTCTGAGATGAATTGGCATCAATGCTGTAGCTGGGGGGCCACCTTGGCCCTGCTCACCGATATTATATTCACAGTAGCGAATGTTGGGCGAGATCTCTTCCACACGCTGATTATACAACACGGCCTGCTCCTCTGTGAAAGCACTGGCAAGCTTCCTATAGATAGTTCTGCAAGCAAAGAAACATTGGGTTGCACGACAGCCTTATTTTAGGAAAACAAACTGACAAGGAACACACGGCTAAAACCAAAGCAGGGCCCTGGGAAGCTCTTCCACCAACATTCTAAGAATGAAAGGAATCATCACCATTTTTACAGAAAAAGAATCCTCCCAAGTTTCACAGAAATAAGCTAATAGCTGGACTCTGACTTGATAATCAGAACTGGCCACAGCCTTGGACCAGAAGACATACGTGCATTTGGTAAAGGCCTCTCGGGCAGCTTTCCACTCCTGGTGTTCAAAGCGCAGCATTCCTAAGAGGTAAGCTGTGTATGCCTGAAAGAAGATGGAAACAGAAGACCCGGGTCAACACAGAACCAATCTTCCAACTCCATCTTCCTCTGACACTGCTACTTTTGCTATCAAGAGTATGGAGAAATTCAGGTCGGTTTTAAAAGAAAAAACCTTCCAAGTCAGGCAAGGTGGGGTACACATATAAATCCTAGCACTATGAGAAGCTGAGGTGCAAGGATCTCAAGTTCAGATTCAGCCTAAACACCTTCGCCAGACCCTGAGTCAATATTTAAAAAAAGGAGGGCTGGGGATATAGTTCAGCAGTACAAGTGCCTGCCTGAAAAGAAGGAAGAAAGGAAGGAGGGAGGGGAGAAAAGAAGGAAGGAAGGAAAGAGAAAGAGAAAGAGAAAGAAAGAAAGAGAGGCTAAAGACACAGCCTAATGCCAAGGCCCAGGATTCTATCCCCAATACTACAAAACAAAACAACAAAAAAAGCTGAGGTGCAGTGGCTCATGCCTGTAATTCCAGATTCTGAGCAGGCTGAGGCAGGAGGATCAAAAGATTAGTGAGACACTGCCTCAAAATTTAAAAAAATTTTAAAGAGCTATGTATGAAGTTCAGTGGTAGAGGACTTGCTCAACATATTCAAGGCCCCGACTTCAGTCCTCAGTACTAGAAAAAATCGACTATAACTTTGCAGTATTTATCGCCATTCCTTTTGGTTTTTGCAATCAATCAGTAATGGGGCTCGAACTCACAATCACGCACTTGCAAGGCAGGCACTTATGCCGCTGAGCTAATTCCCCAGCCCCCTTTTGGGGTTTTGATGTATTGGGGACTGACCCTAAAGCCTTGCACTGAGCTCCTTGTCCCAACTGGTCAGATAGCATCTTGTAAAAATTTGTCACTTCCAAAAAGCTCTCAACTGGGTGTGATGTCTACACTTGTAATCTTTGCACACTGGAGGCTGCGATAGGAGGATGGAAAGTTTGAGTCCAACCTAAATAAGTTAGTGAGATTCTGTCTCAAAACAAACAGGAAAAGGACCAAGGATGCGACCTAGTATAAAGGGCCTAGATTCAACAGCCAATACTGCAAACAAAACAGAAGATTTCCAGCTAGTCATCAAAACCACATGATCTTTCTGTTATTATACAAACCTCAGAGCCCTAAAGCAACATAAGCTAACTTCTCCTTTGACTTTTTTTGGGAGGTGGTACTGGGGATTGAACCCAGGGCCCCATACATGCTAAGTACCCACTCTACCAATAAGCTACAAACCTAGATCTAACATCAAATTTCTTTTTGCTTGTTTTTTGAGACAGGGTCTTGCTATACGGTTCAGATTAGCCTTGAACTCACTAGGTAGCCCAGGCTGGCCTCAAATGTGAGGTGATCCTCCTGCCTCAGCCTCCTGAATGCTGAGATTACAGGCATGCATATGATGCCTGGTTTAATATCACCATTATGTATTTACTTATTTATTTATTTAGGCTTTTTGAGACAGGGTCTCACCATGTAGTTCAGGCTGGCCTCAAACTCACAGTGATCTTCCTGCCTCAGCCTCCCTAATGCTGTAATTACAGACATGTGCCACCATGCCCAACTAACATCACCTATTAAAAGCAAGATCTGAAAGGGTTTGTTCCGCCTCCCTTTTAAGTCACATTTTTAATCTCAACAATAAAGAGTGACTGAATGTGAAGATATTAACCTGAGCCTCTAACTTGGTCTTGGCATCCACACGATTGCTCTCACACAAGCGTTCCAATTCCTCTGCATGCTTCACAGCTTTGCGAAGGCGAGACAGCATGTGAAACCGTTTCCGGGGTTCAGTGCGGGCTTCCTCTTTGAGCTGCATGGCATAGCTCCAGGCTCTTTCGGCATCCATCAGAACCAGAAGCAAGTATCTAGGTCAGAGAAAGGTAGGAGGGCTGAACACGAAAGGCCAGGCGCAGCACCCACACCCCACTCTCCGAGGTACAAGCGCCGAGAGAGCCCTCTGCTTCTCTCTAACTGTGCCTCCCATACCCTGCTTAGGCTCCTCTCACTTCCTCAGCCTCGAGCCCCGCTCAGCATCTCTGCCCTCCACTCAGCCCGAGCCACCTGAGGGGCACACCTCAGTGGAGCCTCTACCTGGAGCTCAGCAAACCCACATTCGCAGTCTCTTCCAGCTACATGCTGTCAGAGGTGCCTAGATACATGATCTGGCTTCATCTCCACTGTTAGGCCTCCTTCCTCCCCCTCAGACAAAAACCAAGCCCTGTAGAGACGGGACACTGAGGAGTGTCGAGTGAGGGCATCAGAGACCGGGCTGCAATCCCAGGGCCTTTCCTTACCAACCATGTGACTTCAGGCCAGTTACTCACCTTCCTGTACCTTACTCTGCCATGGAGTGACACATATGACACGCTTAGCCCAGAAGTGGCACTTCTGAAGTGCTCAGTAGACCACTTTCCTTACTGCTATCCTGCCTGGATTAATCATCTTTAATAAATTTCTGTTTGCCAATCCAAAACAAATGGTCTTGGGCTGGGCATGGTAGTGCATGCTTGCAATCCAAGTACTTGGAGGCTGAGGCAGGAGGACCACTGTGAGCCTGAACTACACAGTGATGAGCCTGAACTACACAGTGAAAGACCCTGTCTCAAAAAAGCAAAAAATAGGGCCAAGGTTTAGCTCGGTGGCACAAGTGCCTGCCTGGCAAGATGAGGTCAAGAGTTTGATCCCTGGTACCAAACAAATAAATAAACAAACCAAAAAACAATAAATAGAAAAAGGATCTTGCTATCACAACAGAATACAGGTTTTTTTAAATTTCTGACTCTTCCTAAATACCCTCGTTAGATCTAATCAAGTCAGTCTGCTATCCCTACTCCCACTAGTCTCCTGATTGTGTCCCCCTCCATTTTGCTCCCAGCCTCTTCCCATCCAAGTAGCAGCTAACAGCTGTCCGGAGCCTAACAGCTCCTCGGCCACACGTAGGCACCATGCACGCTGCCTTCCCTGATACAGAATGTTCTTCTTGCCCACAAACCCTTCAAGCTTAGGCCACTTCCATGCAGGGTTACTCACCTCCTCACCAAGTCCTGTATCCCCAAGCTAACTGCTCCCTTCTAAAACGTAAGAGAACTTAACAGTAAATGACACAATAGGCCTTTCTGAGGTCTTGCACTATTGCCCGATTTTCCATTTGACCAACATCACTCAGCAAGATCGGAGTTAAGGTGGATAAAGGACTATGCCTCTTTTCCACATGCAACATGGTGTCCACCTCAGCCCTCGCTATGGATGTCTTTTGGTAATGGGGCCATTAGTACACATTGTAGGCTTTGGAGGTCATGGTTTCTGTCACAACCACTCTGTTATTATAACACAAAAATGAATGTAAGCAGTATCTAAATAAAAGCATGGCTGGGCTCCAGTAACTTCATTTACACAAACAAGAAGACAGCAATCTGGTCTAAATTGAATTTTAAAGAATCGACCTGGAGACAATACACACTGTTTCACACAAGGAACACTGAAATACTTATACAATGATTTATGCACAACTAGATTTCATTAAGAAACACTGATTTAATTACTTAAACACTGAAATTTGTATTTTAGAAAAGTTACATATGCCTGCCTTGCAAGCAGGCAGTCGTGAGTTCGATCCCCGGTACCAGTAAAAACGAAAAAGACAAAAAAAAAAAAAAAAAAAAAAGAAAAGAAAAGAAAAGTTACATAATATCTGATTCTTTTTTCGTTAGGGATTCAACCCAGAGTCTTGGGCATGCCAGTTCTATCTCTCAGCTACACCTCCACCTGTAAATATTTGATTCTTGCCACTGACTAGCATTTACCATCTCAACATTGTTCTTGAACAAGCTACTAAATATCTCTGCCTTTGCCTTAGAATGCAGAGATAGTTAAAACCCACTCTGCAGAGCTACCAAGAGTCACACAAGATAATTAAAAAAGAGTTTGGCATAGTATCTGGTGTACCTTAACTATTCAATAAATGGATTAGCAAGAAGTATTTCAAGGCTTGCACTGAGAGGTCAATACCTATTATCAGTCAGAAGATCTTCAGTTACTTTTTTCCCTGTGAATTTGTGCCTGTTCCCCATCTTGAAGTTGAGTGTTTTCCGAAGACGTCTCTGTCTGCGGGAACAGTAACCCCTGTAAGAAAATACAAACAAAATTTGTTCAGCTGAGCTGGTGGTACTTTGGATGAGGTTTGGTCAGAGGTTTAGGGTATTCTCCTTATGGTGACTACAGGTATCACATAGCAGCTTGCAAACATTTACCGAACAACTAAAGCATGCAGGGCAACATGATTGGTGTCAGAGAAAACATAAATAGAGGTCATGATGCCTACTCTTAAGGAGTCCATATACTAGTGGGGGAGGAGCATGTAGCCAAGGCCAACGTTGAACTGAATGGAGCAATTCTTCTGTTCTTGGGAACACATCAGGCTACAGTGAACCCAAGAAGCCAGGAAAGAATGAGTAGAATTCTGGAGCTGGGGTTGTGGTTCCATAGTAGCGCACTCGGCTAGAAGCGAGGCCTTGTGTTCAATTCCCAACACTGACTCCCACATCCACCCCCTAAAAAATCAGAATAGGATTCTGATGGAGGTAAAAGACAGGAAGGTATGTGACTAGATTACACTAAAGATGTGGAGGGAGGAAGTGCAAGCACATGTGAAGAAAAAGAAAGAGGCCACCTAGGAGAGCATGGGGAAATACTAAGAATGTCATCCCTATGCCAAGCCTTCTTCCCCTGTGTTCTGTGGCTCTTTATTGTACTATAGCACTCGGCATTGCCACTATGTTCTTTTTTTTTTTTTCTTTTTCCTTTTTATCGGTCGGGGATGGAACCCACGACTGCCTGCTTGCAAGGCAGGCGCTTATGCCGCTGAGCTAAATCCCCAGCCCCACTAACACGTATCCTTCTAGTGGAGGAAAATGTTTATTTTTACATTTTCTGCAATGCTTTAGCAATGTGCCTAGCACACAGATTTTCAATAAGGATGGCATTTCTACTTTTCTTTCCAGTAAGTATTAAGGTAAAAATTATATACAAAATATTACCAATCCTTAAATCAAAATAATAGATCATATAATTTACAATACAAAATGATACTTAACTGTCACATGAGCAGCTCAATGTTTTTGGGTTTTTTTGGTACCAGGGATCAAACTCACGACCTTGTGCTTGCCAGACCAGTGGTTGTGCTGCTGAGCTACATATATGGCCTGAGCATCTCAATCTTAAAAGCTACCAGGGCGGGGCTGGGGATTTAGCTCAGCGGCATAAGCGCCTGCCTTGCAACAGGCAGTTGTGAGTTCAATCCCTGGTACCGATGATTAAAAAAGGGCTCGGATTATTAAAAAAATAATAGGAATGGGGAGGGGATACAGCTCAATGACAGAATACTTGCCTAGCATGCATGAGACCCTGGATTCAATCACCAAGACTGCAAAAATGAAAAAACAAAAAACAAGGGAGGTGGGGATTTAGCTCAGTGGTATAAGTGCCTGCCTGGCAGGTGCAAGGTCATGAGTTTGATCCCTAGTACCAAGAAGGAAAGAAGGAAAGAAAGGGAAGGAAAGCAGGCCAGCAACTTTTGCTAATAATAAAAAACAGGCAATATAGATATTTTCATTAAAGTATTAAAAATGTTTATGCTCTGGGAGGCCGGGATTTAGCTCAACAGCTAGCACACAGATTTTCAGTAAGTGCCTGCCTTGCAAGCATGTGGTTGTGAGTTCGAGCCCGGTAACCGCCCCCTCAAAATGTTTATGCTCTGAACCAACAATCTGGGTCTACCTACGGGCTGGGGATATAGCTCAGTGGCACAGTACCTGCCTGGCAAGTGCAAGGTCCTGAGTTCAATTCCAGGAAAAAAAAAAAATCAGAAACATAGATGAGAGCTAAACAAAGATTCACAGCAACAAAAATTCTCAGCCTATGAAAGTAGGTACCAAAGAAATAAGTAACTTGGGCAAACAGGTGATTATGTTTTGCTTTTTGTGGCTGTTTTTTTTTTTTTAATTTTTTGTACCAGGGACTGAGCCTATGACCTCAGACTTGCCAGACAGATGCTTAGGCCACTGAGCTAAGTCCCCAGCCCCACGGCTGTTTTTTGAGACATGATCTTGCTATTTAATCCAGGTTGGCCTTGAATTCATTACGTAGCCCAGGCTGGTTTGAAACTCGCAGTGATCGTCCTTCGTCAGCCTCCTAAATGCTGGGATTATACATGTGTATCACCACACGTGGCTATTTTATTCTTTATACTTCATTATGTTTTCATTTGTAAGCTAAATGTAAAGGCAAGGAATATGGCTCAGTGGTACAGCACTTCTTTCACATGAATGAAGCCCAAGTTTCACCCCCAGCACTGCAAAACTGAATAAAATTAAATTTAAAAAGAAAATACATATAAAGAAATACAAATGGCTTTTAAGGAAGATGTATAATTTTACTTTTGACAAACAAATGCAAGCAAAAATCATCTTAAAAAAAGAAAGTGTACTCCAGAACTGCCCCTCAAAAAGCAAAACTCTAAGGGGCTGGGGATTTAGCTCAGCGGCATAAGCGCCTGCCTTGCAAGCAGGCAGCCGTGAGTTCGATGTTCAATCCCCGGTACCGATAAAAAGGAAAAGGACAAAAAAAAAAAGAAATGTGAAAAGGATGTATGTTAGCTGGCAAGGTAGCACATGCCTGAAATTCCAGCACTCTAGCCTGTGGTAGGGAGGAGCTCAACTTAAAGCCAGCTGGGTTAATTTAGCAACTAACGAAGACCCTGTCTCAAAATAAAAATTAAAAAAGAAGAAAATAAAATCCTCGACAAAAGGGAACTTGTTGACCACTAATGATGCTGGGTTATATCTGGGGCTTTCAGATAATAAGCTTTTTGGTTCCTTTGTTGTCTACAATTTATAGACTTGCATGGTATTTTATAAGAAACTCAAGGAAAGAACAGTCCTCCTACCTTGGGAAGTTACAACTACTAATCTTTGCCTAAAAAGATTTCCACTGATAGAACATGACAGTGCACTTCACTTCGGGTTGCCAGGGCGGGGCAGGATGGGGAAGAGGGGAAGGGCGCACTAAATTCTATCTTTCCCCATCTCAAAGTGAGGCTGTCACTGATATTCAAGTATACAACTGCTGACTTGTGTTAGCTATTTTGCCAGAGAAGTCCAGGACTACTTGAATCATTCATCGTAAGGACATCAATAAATAAGCATATGTTTACTAGCAACTGTCAGCCTGGAAAGTAACAGTTTCCATAAAGAATCTGTGGTGGAAAGAAAAACCTGGAAGAGAACTGCTTCCTCACAATCAGCAAATAAATAGGTCATTCCTATAATACTTGTATTCCTAAGTCATGTGACTTAAGCACTGTAACTGTTAACCTAAGCAGGAGAAAATTTGATTAAGACAAAAACAAAATAAGATCCCCCGACACTATCCCCCATACGGGGATAGTTCCACAAATCCCGGCATCTCAAGTATGACTGGCAGGCACTGTCACATTGTTAGACCAAAAACACAAGTTACCCAGGAGCTCAGATAGCAGGGACCCATTCTGCTTAAACACAACAGACCCACAGCATAACAGGCACGGACTTAGAAAAATCTTGTAGCCTCACACCCAGCTAGTTACCTTCCCTTCCTGTCTGCTTCACAATAAACTTCACCCTGCAATTGTTGCTGTGTCACCACCTCTCACTTTCCCCTTAACCTATTCCAATCAGGCTTCCACCCCGTATGGTCCTCAGACTCCGCCTATGATACCAGAATTTAAAACATGACACCATTTATAATCCATCAAAAGAGGAAAAACACCTGATACAGTAAGACTTTCAAGCTGAAAACCCAAAATGCTGATGAAGACAGAGATCTAACTAGTGGAAAAGCATCAATCTTCACAGACTGGAAAACTCAACCTAGTGAAGATATTATTTCCAAACTGACATACAACTTAATGTAAAACCTATCAAAATTCTAGAAATTTTTTAGTAAGTATACACAAGATCATCCTAAAATTTGTATGGATTCTATCCACTAGGACCTTACGAACGCTGGCAAAGGAGTGGAGAAACTGGAACCCTTGTGCTTTGCTGGGAAAAGAAAAAATAATAGGCTAATTTTAATGTAATTTTATCACAGTAAGAAAATTGTCTAGCCAGACATGGTGATGCATACCTATAATCCACTCCAGAGGCTGGGGTAGGAGGGTTACTATAAATTTGGAGCCAGCCTGGGCCACATAGTGAGTTCAAGGCCAGCCTGCACTAAGAGACCCTGTCTCAATACACACACACCCCCCACAATTCCAACAAAGGGCTGGTAGTATATAGTTCAGTTATGCATTGGCTGCCTATGACATGCAAGACCCAAGCTTTAATCCCCAGTACTGTAAAACAACAACCACAAGAAAAAAAAATCCAACCAAAAAGTCAGGTATAGTAGCTCTAGTGGATAATCAGTGCACTCAGAAGACTGAGGCAGGGTATCACTGCAAGTCTGATGCTAACCTGGGCTATATAGTGACTTTAAGGCCAGTATGAACTACATAGTGAGACACTGGTCACGAATCCCATCCATTAAATAAAATATAAAACAAAAATACTCAAAAATACGCAATACTATTCAGTGTAAATTTATAAAATTAGTAATACACAAAGTGTCCTTGCCAAAAACATACGCATCTCATCAAGAGACATCAACTGCTGGAGACCGGGGCAGGAGGACTGCCATGAATTGAAGGCCAACCTAGACTACATAGTGAGCCTGAGGTCAGCCTTTGCTACAGAGTGAGGCTCTGCCTCAAAAAACAACAACAAAGAGATATCCAGTAAACCCCACTGGTGAAATCCTGCAAAATAACTGGCCACTATCTTTAAGGTCTCAAGATTTTCAAACTATACAAAAAAGAATAGGGCTAGAATTATGATTAAAGACATAATTCTATACAACATACAATTTTGAATTGGATCTTTTGCAATAAAGGATATTACTAGGGCCAGGCATGGTGGCACATGCCTGTAATCCCAGCACTCAGACGGCTGAGGCAGAAGGCTTGTTGTAAATCTGAGACCAACCTGGGCTACAAAGTGAGCTCAAGGCTGGCCTGAACTGCACAGTGAGCTCCTGTCTCAAAAAAAAAAAAAAAATTATTAGGAGCCAATCATGGTGGCTCACTCATGTAATCCCAGCACTCAGGAGGCTGAGGCAGGAGGGTTGTTGCAAGTTGATCAGCCTGGGCTACAAAGTGAGTTTAAGGCCAGCCTGAACTGCATAGAGATCCTGTCTCAAAAAGACAAAAAAAAAAAAAAAAAAGAAATTATTAGGTAAGTAGGGAATCTTGAATGGGGTCTGAGGGTTATAAAACAGTAATTTATCATTAGTTCCCTGCTTTTGATTGTTACTTGTAGGTTTGTAGGACAAGGATGATTCATCAGACATACGAAGTGTTCAGAGATAATGGGCATCAGTAAGCAACCTACTTTCAGTGGTTAAGAAAAGACCTATTATTTGTGCTGTACCTGCAACTTTGGAAAAAAACATTTTAAAGAAATCAGGGAAGGGGCTGGGGATTTAGCTCAGCGGCATAAGCGCCTGCCTTGCAAGCAGGCAGTAGTGAGTTCGATCCCCGGTACCGATAAAAAAGGAAAAAGACCAAAAAAAAAAAAAAAAAGAAATCAGGGAAAACTGAATGGACGTGTATTTTTACATTTATATCACTCTAGAAGAAGACACTGCAGAATTATTTTAAGTAGATAATAGTGGGGTGGGGATTTAGCTCTGCAGCATAGGTGCTGTCTGGCAAGCGTCAAATTATGAGTTCCATCCCCAGTACCGGAAAAAAGCAAAAAAAGTGTCCTTGCTTCTGCTTCTTCACAGGAGCTCCTGGCTTCCAACACAGATGTTTCGGCCTCCTGATTCAGGCTCACACAGGCCGCTACCCTGAGCTTTGGGCCTTTGACAGGATCCTTCAGATCCTGAGCATGCAGACACCCTCTGTGCCCTTCTACACCTGACTCTGTGGGCGGCCAATGTAAGCCAACTTTGTAAATTCTTACTATATTTGTACACCTTGCATTAAATTTGCTTCTCTAGTAAGCACTGACTGATGCAGATTTTGGGTCAGAAAGGCGTCCACTCAGATTTTTTGCTGTTGTTTTGCTTTTTGAGATGGGGCCTGCCATGCAGTTCCGGTTGGCCTTGGACTCCTGGTGATCCTCCTGCCTCAGCCTGCAGAGTGCTGGGATAACAGCATATCTCCACACCTGATTACCAGCCAGCTTTCAGAAGTCCAGGGAGCCAGACAGTGTGCTCCTGAGAGGCAATGTGTGAAGCCATGAATGAAGCTGAAAGATACAGTGGAGGTTCTAGAAGGTTGGAAAAGCAAGGAATGTGGCTCATCTAAGGAAATCTGCAAGGAGAGAGCAAAGCCAGCCCAGGAGAGAAGGCATGACAGCTGCACCATACACAGTGTAGGGATGGAGCCCCCTTGTCATAGATTGCCTCAGATGCTGGATACAAAACTACAGGATTTAATGTTTGTCCCACTCAATATTGGACTTGCTTTGGTCTCATTCCTTTTATCCCTTTGTGTTGGGAGCAGGAGCCAGGGGTCCCGCAGTGAACGGGTGTGGGAAACCACACACTGAAGCTGGACCTCAACCAGTTCCTCATCCTGCAGTGACCTCAGCCTTCTAGACAGAGCATCGCGCTGATATTAACCTGGGAATAGCTTCATAACATAAAAAATAGAAGTTTCTCATGGGCCCAAGAACATGTTTACCTCCTGGGCTGCACAACATACAAGTTTCTCACGGGCCCAGGAGCATGTTTACCTTTGCTGTGTGCACAAGAAAGTGTCCTAAAGTGACTTGTACTGCTCTTTGTTTTGAAACATTATAAAAACTCTGTAGCCCTTCAATAAATCGCCTTTTGCCTCCTGAACAACTGGTCTCCCTGTGACTTCAGTCTCTCGCCTGACTCCTTCCCCGCGCTGGCAGCAGCACCTGGCACCTTTGTACCTTTTGGAATGGTAATGTCTATCTTCTGCCATAATATATTGAAAGTATTTAACTTTCTTTTCATTTGTACAAGGGCTTGAAGTAAAGCATGCCTTAAATCTCAGAGGAAAGTTTGGACTTGGACTTTTTAGCAATGCTGAAAGTGTTAGGACCTTGGCAAATCGTAAGTATGGACTAAATGGCTTCTGCATAAGAGATATACATGAGTCTTTGGGAGGTCAGGGGCAGAATGTTATGGCTGTGTCTAGATGTCCCCCCAAGCCTCATGGGGTCACAGATGGGGCTTTTCAGAGGTGGCTGGATCTAGGGTATGTGATGCTGGAATTAAGGATATTTGATTACTAAATTAGTCCACAGGCTGGGTATGGTGGCCCACACCTGTAAGGAGGAAAACTGACGGTTTCCCATCATGCCTACTTTAACACTCATTGCTGGGGCCTCACATGCTGGCACTCCCTACTTCTCCTGACTTACCTCACATACCACCTTGCTCACTCTGCCATAGCCCGCTGACCCTTCACCACACAGCTGGCTCCTCACCCTTCAGGTCCCTGCGAAATGCCCTCAACTCACCTCATCTAACCTCCTTTCTTAGGAGTTCCTATCTCTAATCTTCACCACAGCCTGACACTGCATTTGTATAGTAGAAAAAAAGTATACAAATTTAATGCAAGGTGTACAAATCTATATACAAGGGCTGTATATATATTTTAATACTAGATTTACTGATCCATCATGAGATTAATATAAGTTACCTTTGGCTCTATAATTATAAAAGATGTTCAAAGTTGTGGTCATTAGCTTCCAGATTAATTAGTACAGTGAACTGCTGTGTGCATGCACTTTTTTGGTGAGCCCTATATATTTGGTTAATACACTCCCTAGAATAAGAGCCTTTGCCTGTGGCTTTTTTTTTTTTTTTGGTACCGGGGATTGAACTCATGACCTCATGCTTGCCAGGCAGGTACTTATGCCACTCAGCTAAATCCTCAGCCCTGCCCTGTGTTATTTAACACTGTCCAGTGCCTAAATCAATCTCTAGTTTAAAAAAAAAAAAAAAAAGGGAAAAAAAGAGTCTGAGATGTAGGATGTTTTACAAGGATATTTTAACATTAGTCAAAGCCAATAACATGATACAGAAATAGTTGGATATATACTTTCAAGTAATGAACTGTATTAAAGTAATGAACTGTATCACACATTACACACCCATTTTACTTTTTAGAGTAATATTAAATTTGTTTTTCAAGCCAGACGTGGTGGTGCATGCCTATAATCCCAGCACTTGGGAAGCTGAGGCAGGAGGATTGCTATGAGTTTGAGGCCAGCCTGAGCTACGTAAGTGAGTTCAAGGCCCGCCTGTACTGCAGAAAGATCTTGTCTCAAACAAATGAAAAAACCCAAAAGAAACTCTTACCGATCATTTTCATCAAAAGTCTCCAAATGTATCTACAGAACTCTGAGGCAAAATGGATAAAAAGATTGGCCACTTTTTTTTTCTTTTTTGGCAGTTCTGGGAGTTGAATCTGGGACTTTGCACTAAGCTATGTCTCTAGATCCTTTTTTATTTTTTAAAATTTTGAGTCTCATTAAATTGCTCATGCTGGCCTTGAACTTGTGATCCCCCAGCCTCCTCAGTAGCTGGGATCACAAGGATGTGCCACGACACCTGGCTAAGGGTGACTTCATTTATTCAATTACAAAATTTTATACTTAAAAAGTACATACCTTTTAAGAACTCATTATAAGCCCAAGGTTGCTCTTTCTATGTATGCTTTTTGATATAGCAGAGTAAGGATACTGACAAAAGTAAACCAAGTTTGAAAATCCCAGTGATCTCCACGTATCTTACATAGGATACTGACCTGTACCTCTGAAAATCTTCATGCCGCAAACCATGTTGCTGCTGGGATTCCTTAATAATCTGAAGAACTAGAGCCAAAATTAAGGAAAATTTTACAGTAGCAAAAATCAATAAATCAAAACCCAGTAGCAAAAATCTAAGTAAGTCAAAATCTGTATCACTGGTCTATATTGTGTTGAGCCCTAGTACAATACACATTTGTGAAATTCTTAGTACATTAACTAATGAAATCTTTTGTAACCATTGTCAATCACAGTCTTGTCACACATAAGACAGGAATAAATTTGCAGAAAAGTTTATCTGAATTGTTACTGTTTTCAAAATAAAAAAGATATTACTAGCCATTCGGGATTGCTGAAACTTACACAGCTCAAATTAAAGCTGCTAGATTCTAAATGCTAACTATAATTGGAGTGGTTCCCACTGATTTACATTTTATTCATTCAAGCAGGTTCACACTACAAATGACAAGTACTATGCTTCTATTTGTCCTCCACATCTGCCAAATCCAACTTTTCCTTAACAGCTGTGATGCTTCCAGAACCTATAATAAGCACATGCCAACCAAGATAGGCTGATTTCCATAAAAACATTAAACATTTTCTGACCAAACTCTTTTTTTTTTTTTTTGTACCAGGGATTGAACTCTCAACCTTGCGCTTGCCAGGCAGGCACTTACGCCATTGAGCTAAATCCCTGGCTGTGACCACATTCTTCTCCTGATCAAATTCTCTCCTGTAAGAATCTTAAGATATTGAAGATTATGTACCAAATTGCAGAAGTTCAATGACCTTTATCTACAATTTTAGGTTTTAACATTTTTCTCCACTCTTCTCTATAAATATCATTTATTTTTTGTCTTTAGTCAAAGCCTTGAACTCACAGCAATCCTCCTACCTCTGCTTGCCAAGTGCTAGGATTACAAGCTGCACCACCATACACAGCTCTATAAATATTATTTTTAAACAGTGTACACTTAAAAGGGCTCTTTCAATGATTAATGAAAGTAGAGAGTAGAATTTAGCAGGTTCATAGTAAAAGAAGGATATTCTTTTTTTTTTTTGTACTGGGAATCAAACTCACAACTTAGCGCTTGCCAGGCAGGTGCTTATGCTGCTAAGCTAAATCCCCAGTCCAAAAGAAGGATAGTCTAACATCCATCTGGAACAAGTACACTACCATAACAAAAAGTAAATTCCAAAAGCCTAAAAGCTTAACTAAGTTAGGACAGCAAGCTGAATGCTACTTCAGAAATGTTTGTATTTTCTCCACATTTTTCAGTTCAAAAAGCCACGAACTGTGTCACAAGCACATAACTGAAATACAAACTAATAAAAACTACAAACCGATTCTTCCAAAGCCTGCAACAAAATAAAATCCCAACAGATCTACTTAAAAAAAAAAAAACTATACAGGTGATATTAACAAGCTATGATAAGTTACATTCAAAACAGGCAGGAAGCTTTAAGACAATCTGTACCTCCACTTCCAAAGCATCAGGCTCTCCATTTTTACTAGCCTTTTACAGCTGTCAGACAAGAATATTAAGTCTGAAATGTCAAGACTGTATTTTCCTCACCCCACTGAGTGGCTCAGAGACACTAAGAAGGAGCTCAGCAGGATGGCCGGGTGTCAACACTGACGCAAGCCCTCCAAATGAGCAACTGCATGGGAGTAGCAGAAACCTGCTTGGTATCCCTATACCACCTGGAAGAAAAGAACGTCTCCGAGGGAAATGCGAGGAAAAGAAATGCGAGGAAAGAGCCCTAGATCTCTAAATGCCAAAAACTAAGGGTAAGAGAAACTACAACCCTCAGCTCCGACCCGGTACGTGCCAGTAACCGCAGCCTCTCCCGCCCCTAGCCCTCCAGATCGACACGTAGTCATTGCGAGTCAGGCCATAACTCTAGGATACTCTCCAAACTCAGGCTATCCCCGAATTCTTTGTTTGCCTTCGGCCCAGCTGAAGGACGTTCGTTTTCTTTATTTTCTTCTCCTCCGGCACCACGTCCACCGCCTCCACCACTGCTACCGCTACCGCTGCCACTGCCGCTGCTGCCGCCACCGCCGCCACCGCCACCGCCACCCGGGACCTGCTTCTCGGCAGCCATCTTGCCCCTACGCCGCAGAGCAGGACGGGAAAGAGCAGACGAGATGACCAGGGGCTGAAGGAGCGGGACCTATCAGCTCAGGCTGATGGGATTGGGGCGGACTCCGCCGCCCTCCGCACTTCCGGCGAGCAGAGACCTGTTGGAATGCGCCTGCGCGCGTGGGCTTGGGGCTCTAAGTGGCAAGTTGTGGAGGGCGAGATTGAAGTTTATTGAAGTCTTTTCCGGTGCAGTCCCCAGCTACAGTACACCAAGGGCAGGAGGACTATAAGTGAAACCCATCTCCTGCATCCCTGCACAGGGGATCAGGTTCACGTCCCACACATCAGGAGGCGGGGACTAACGACTTTCTGAGTACGTACCTTTCCATGGAGTGTGAAATGGGATTCTGTGCCTACGAAACACCCTTCCCATGAGGGTCCGCTTCTGCGCTTTTCTCGGCCTGACGGTGAAAAGTAATGGCCCTGGGAACCGAAGGGGCAAACAACAGGCAGTGTCCTGGTGGAGACATTGCTTGGGACCTGTATCATGGGACCAGACCAAGGACAGAGAAGTATTGGCACAAAAGCACGAGTCTTTGCCCTACAATAGGGCACTCAACTTCTGTAGAGTCTTGAGGCTGAGGTTCACATCCCTGCTCTAGCAGTACTGGTTGGGAGAAGTTGAGCATATAATTTAATCATTTAAACCTGTTCCCTTAGAAACATATAAATCAAAGCCACAATGAGATAACACTTCATGCCCATTAGAATGGCTACTAAACCAAAATAAACCACAAAACAAAATGTGTGGTGTGTAAAGAAATTGGAACTGTTGTATATTATTAGTGGGAATGTAAAGTGGTGGAGTCACTGCAGAATACACTATGGCAATTCAGCAACAATTAAAAATAGAGTTGTGGGGCTGGGGATTTAGCTCAGCGGCATAAGTGCCTGCCTTGCAAGCAGGCAGTCGTGGGTTCGATCCCCGGTACCGATAAAAAGGAAAAAGACAAAAAATAAATAAATAAAAAATAAAAATAGAGTTGTGCATGTTGCATGCCTGTAATCCAACACTTGGGAGGCTGAGGTGGAAGGATTGCTGGAAGTTCAGGGCTAACATGAGTTACATAGTGAGTTCAAAGTCACCCTGAACTACATAACGAGATTCTATCTCAAAAAAAAAAAAAAAAAAAAAGTTGGGGCTAAGGATTTAGCTCAGTGGCGTAAGCACCTGCCTTGCAAGCAGGCGGTTGTGAGTTCGATCCTCGGTACCGATAAAAGTGAAAAAGACAAAAAAAAAAAAAAAAAAAGTTACCATGTGATCTAGCAATTCCACTGCTGTGTATTCATACCAAATAATTGTAAGGCAGGATCCAGAAGAGTTATTTATATTCCTACATTCACAGCAGTATTATTCTCAATGGACAGTGAAGTGTGGAAACAATCCAATGGGATAAACAAAGTGATATTGTCATACAATGGACTATTATTCAACCTTTAATGGAAATAAAATTCTTCCAAGTGTGGTGGCACATTCCTGTAATTCCAGCTACAAAGCAAGACTAAACAGGAAAATCATAAATTGGAGGCCAGCTGGGAAACTTAGAAAATGATTTGGGATGTACATCAGTCATAGAACATTTGTCAAGCATATGCAAGGTCTAGGATTCAATCCTAATACTGCCCAAAGGGATGGGGTGGGGCGGGGCTAAGATTCTGATACATAGTACAACATGGATAAATGTTAAAAATTGCATTTTAAGGGCTGGGGATTTAGCTTAGCAGCATTAGCACCTGCCTTGCAAGCAGGGGGTTGTGAGTTCGATCCCCAGTACCGATAAAAAAAAAAAAAAATTGGGGCTGGGGATTTAGCTCAGTGGCATAAGCGCCTGCCTTGCAAGCAGGCAGTTGTGAGTTCGATCTCCAGTACCAATAAAAAGGAAAAAAGACAAAAAAAAAAAAAAAAAAAGTTGCATTTTAAGTCTTTGCTTACATGCAGAACCTAGATTAGGCCAGTTCATAGAGGCAGCAGAATGATGATTGCCACCCTCCATTCCCAATAATGGGGAGTAATTTAATGTATTTCACTTTCGAAAAATGAAAAAGTTCTGAAGTGATTTGAAACAATATGAAAGCGTTGCTGAATTAAACACTTAAAGATGTTTAGCCAGATGTGACAGTACCAGATTCAGGTCTCGATATACATCTCACTGCGTGCTCAAGAGTCTTCTAAGAAAAAATGTTACCATCTCCTATTACAGCTGTGAAAATCAAGGCCCAGTGCCAAAGACAAGCTGACACCCAATAGATGCTCAATAAATACTTCTTGGATTTAACTGGAGGGGTAATGACCAGTGAGTGAGAGAAAGGAGTGAAATGAAGCTCATTAAGTTTCTGCAGAAAATTCCTTTCCATCACCCCTCCACCCACCAGGCTGCCCGCTGAGGTTCCTGGAAAGCCTGGTGCTCCAGGGAATTAGAAAAGGACAGATGCATGGAGCACAGGGTGAGCAGTCCAGGCCCCTCTACCCAGCGTCCAGACCCCATGGATGAGAGGCCAGTATGGAGCTTTCGAGGGCATCGCAGCCAGAGCACAGGCAGTCAAACTGCAGGGAAGTTCAGGGGTTCGCGGGTGCACACATGGAGAACCTGGGTTCAGCCCCCACTACCCTGCGTCTCTGGGAGAAGCCAGTTGTACAACCCAATACGCTACAGCAGGCCTCCTGGGCCCGGAGCGCGACAGCAGATACCATCTCGGCTCTCCGTCCCGGGTTAGGCTCTGGGTTTCCCGCCGGGACGCGAGTGGGGCCACTCGGTAGCACTGCCCGAGCGCAGCTAGCCTTGGAGGGAGCAAGCCCACCCTCGGCCGCTCGTTCCTCCCCCTGACTCCAGCACACCGCCCAGCGGAGTCTGGCTGGGCACCTCGGCGGCCCGAGCGGCGGGGAGCTGCGCGCTAACCAAGACTCAGACTGCTGCCAGAGCCAGGCAGCTTCGGGTCGGCGTCACCAGGAACGCCTCGGGTGACCTGGGGGGCGAGAACAAAACCCAGGCGGGCGGAAAAGGTAGCTGGCAGCCAGAGGCGGTCTACCCACATCTCAAAACGCCCTGGCAGCCATCAGGCTCATCTGGGGCTGGCACTGCTTTTCTCCAGGCCCTACCTGAGCTACTATCGCCAGCTGGCCAATCTGATGTGTGTCACCCAGCATGGAGTGCGCCTCACCGCAGCGCCATGGACCTCTGCACCTTCCTCTTCAGCTACCTGTTGCCGGTGCTGTTTCTTGGCCTCACCTATGCGCGCCCTCTGCGCTACCTCTGGCGCACTGGCGACCCCGTGGCTGTGGGATCTGGTGCTCGACGCACCAAGGGCAAGGTGACACGCATGATCGTCATTGTGGCCTGGCCGTGCTCCTCTGCCTCAGTTGGATGCCCCACCATGTGCTTATTCTCTGCAGGTGGTTCGGCTGCTTCCCGCTCACTCGTGCTGCTTAATCGCTTCCTATTGTCTGGTCTCCTATGCCAACTCCTACGGAAACCCCACCATCTACGTGCTGGTCTCCAAGCACTTCCGCAGGATCTGCGTGTGCCTGTTGGATGGTACTCCGCACTACGCCTCTGGCCGCATGTGTGTTGCGGCACCGGCACCGGGCACCCACAATGGCAGCGGCTGAAGTGTGAGTCCACACCTAAGTGAAGTGGCTGGGGCGCCATGACTCTGCCCATCATAGAGCCCAAACGCTTCCAAGACCCTGATCATGAACATGACCTCAAGCCTCACAACACTTGGCTTGTAACCTTGGTTGTTTACAGGGTTGAAGTCAGAGGGTGGGGCTCGGGGAAAGAGTTTCATCTTTTTTTTTTTTTTTTTTGTCTTTTTCCTTTTTATCGGTACCGGGGATCGAACTCACGACTGCCTGCTTGCAAGGCAGGCGCTTATGCCGCTGAGCTAAATCCCCAGGCCCCGAGTTTCATCTTTTTTTTTTTTTTTTTTTTTTTTTTTGGTCTTTTTTCCTTTTTATCGGTACCGGGGATCGAACTCATGACTGCCTGCTTACAAGGAAGGTGCTTATGCCGCTGAGCTAAATCCTCAGCCCCCTCGAGTTTCATCTTTTAATAAAACGCACAGACCATGTCACCTGCAGTGACATGCTCTGTCCAAATATCACACTGTCATGAAAACCCATGAGGAAAAGCCTCTGGGACTTCTCCAGGGGTTCCTGATGGATGGATGAAGGGTACTTTTTGAGCTAGGGGAAAGGGAATGCCCACACTTCCTTCGGCAGGTTTAAAGTGAAAATGCCTATCTGGAGCCAGGGAGTGGGGATCACCACACCCTCTTTACACACGGTTGTTGGAGGCACTGGGTATACATTGATTGCTGAACCTTCAGCCAGTGCATGCAACAGGGGCAGGCGAAGTATTTAAGTATTCAGTAAAGTCCGAGACAGATGAGAGCACTCTATGTGTTCTGGTTGCATTCATGCACAAATTGCTAACCAGTGCTGGCCTCTAGCTCCCTGGGGCTCCTTCCACTCTGGACAGCCTGATCAGTGCCCATCCACTGTTGACCTTGGCGTTTCCTTCCCTGGATGCAGCTTGACCCAATCAGGTCTCCAGTATCTGTTTCTGCCAGGGTCAGGTCGGGGGGTGTGGCAGCAAAGTGGTTCTCTGAGTACTACTGTAGCCTGGATGAGAGCAGGCTGGACATTCAGTAGAGTAAGAATAGTTCCTGGTCATGACTGGTCTCTGTATTCCGATTTACTCCAGTCCGAGTTCATGAGCCAAGGCTCTTTATGTATAACCAGGGTCTAACAAGAGGCAGAAACACTCATGAGGAACTGCCATGGAGTGGAGGGCACTTTGGCCAATGACATTGACACTTAGCCAGGGTGCTGTCAGCTACTGAAACACAGAAGAGGGCTGGAAAGACCAAAGAACTGGGTGTTTCAGATTTACTCCATGCCTCCTCAGCAGGCTTTGAACAGGGCAGTGGGTTCCAGGTAGTGGAAATGGGCAGGACAGGGACCCTTGGGCAGGTGCAGGGTGGATGGGGCTGAGCCCTGGGCTTTGTCTTTAGGTGTCTGCAGAACTGTGTGTGTGTGTGTGTGTGTGTCTTTAGGTGTCTGCAGAACTGGGTGTATGTGTGTGTGTGTCTTTAGGTGTCTGCACAACTGGGTGTGTTTGTGTGCTGAGTCCAAGGTCCCAGCGTCACTGCATATAGCAGCTATCTCCATCCAACTACTCAACCCCCAGGGATTTGAAATAAGAGGCTGTAGTTTAAGCTCCCTCTGGGCAGTCACGGATGATGGCCCTGTGCATCATGCTTCACCTTGCCTTCCCCTGGGTTGGCACCATCCAGCCTTTGGTCCTGAAGTCCAGAGACTCAGCTACTGGTAGGTGATGGCTTAAGGAGATCAGCTTGGAATTTCAGCCCCAGAACACCAGGATAACCTCAACCTTTACTCTTCAGGGGAGCCATCTCTCTACCTCAACTTGGCCCTGGAGGTCCAGGACATCATCCAGAGTCTAAGCATGCGGAGTGCGCCCCTGCTTGTGCATGTGCTGGTGTCTGTGTCCACTTTTCTTTGTCTTTTTCATTTTTATCGGTACCGGGGATCAAACTCACGACTGCCTGCTTGCAAGGCAGGCGCTTATGCCGCTAAGCTAAATCTCCAGCCCCGTGTCCACATTTTTAATATGGTAGCTGCTTTCTGGCTGCAGGAGTGCAGGGGATCCAAGTACTAAGCTGGGATGTGAGAAGACTCAGTTCTGGCTACTGCCAGGGTCTCCTGCCTCCGTCATGCAGTGCCCATGCTGACCTCAGGACATCCAGCGGGACACACTGTCCTCCATGCTGATGCTAAGGCTAGTAAGCTTCCAACCCCAGGGAGGTAGCACAGGAACTCGTGACTAGTCCAGCCTGGAAGCACTGACAGTCGCCATCGTGTGGGCATAAGGAACATGCGAATGCAGAGAATGGGGCTGCAGTGGTGTCCTCGTGTCCCCAGGCTGGATACTTGCCTGGCTTGGGACACTGCTGCACATGCACAACATGCAGTCACATTGCCTGGGGCTCACCCTGGACACCTGCACTCACCATCCAGGAAGCCTAACCCTTTCCCCTCATGGACTCTGGGTGGACTGCAAGGACCAAACATACCACAACGGGCCAAGTGGTAACCTGGCCCTTACTGCAGAAACCAACTGTGACTTTGAGCTCCTCCATATTCTGAGGACCAGAGCAACTGTGCCCTCAGTTTCTGTGCTTTCAGACACTGGTGCCGACAGGGTAGGGGATGAAGGCAGAGGAGGGGACTCTCTGGTTGTAGCACTTGTTAGACACTTGGGGGGCTGTGCTCAGACCAGTCTACCTCAGGCTTAGGGGAGCTGACAGGTGCCGAGCAGCACGTGCTCCTCACCCTCTACCTCCACTCAAACGTCAGCCTATCACCCGTGCCCCTCAGCTATGGCCTCACTGCCCTCTTCCAGGGCCACAGCATGGCAGCTTCACAACCCCGGGGTTCTGTTCACTTCAGGCTTCTCTCCTCAGAGTAAGTGCTCTCAACAGCCAGGTCCAATCTGCAGTTGCTGCACAACCTGCATCTAGTCCAGAGGCAACTAAAGGGGCTACTCCAGGGCACCCCCTAACCCATCAGGTGACATCAAAGTCGGCAAAGTACTTTACCCCCTTACCTCCCTCCCTTCATAAAAGATGGCAACTGCTGCTCTGCAGACCCTGAACATTTCCTGTGTGAGACGAGGGACCAGTGTAGGAGGCCGCTAGCACGTCCCTGCCATGAAGCAGCACGAAGTACATTTATCTGCAATAGCTACTCATTTATGAACCCAGTAAGGCTTTTCCTTCTCTAGGAGATGATGGGAGGCGCTGAGAAGCATTCGGGAAGCCCTCATACAGATGTTTTATCTTCAAAGATGCTTCCTAGAGGCCTCAAGAGGTCTGCCCCTTCCTGGGCTCAAGCCTGGGTTCCTACTCTTCAGAGATTCGAGGGCAGGGATCTGTTTCCTAGGCTACCCTCATCTCCATCCCTTTTGGTGAAGGAGCTGGAAATTCAGGCCGATGAAAAGAATGAGACTGTGACTGTCAAGAGAATGTGCAGTTTATGATTTGAAAATCCAAGGAACGCCCCCCCCGCCCCCGGATCTGGTGTCCTGGTGCCAGGTGATAGTGAGTCAAACTGGGAAGGGGCAAGCAGAGGCTGATGGAGGGCCACAATGTCATCCTCATGCTGCCCACCCGCTCTGTATCCTGGGAAAGGCCCAGCTCTTTTCTTTCCAGATGAGCCTGAAGAACACAGCAGTAGAGACTATCTCTCCGCGGGTGCTTGGAGAGGCATTGCCATTAGCTGAAGTGTGTGTGGCGGCTGCTGCCCCTCTGGGCCACTGGGCACATTGCCTACAAGGTGACACTGTTGCTGGGCTCCCTGTCTTCCACCCTTCCCCAGTGCAGGCCCTGCCTAGCTCCTCCTCCTGCAACCCACTGCTCAATAAGCCCTGCTTCTTCTGGTTCCATGAGGCCTGTCCCCACCTGCTGTCATGGAGCCTCTGCCTGTCAGGCCTGGTCCCGGAAGTCCTTTCCCACCTCCAGTTTATCACCTCACAGTCCTGCTGCTGCTCTCCCTCAGCACCACGGAGACTGTGCTGCTGGCTGAGCTGCTGGCCCAGGACAACTTTAGGAATAAAAGCAGCTCCAGCCCAGTCCCAAGAAAGGAACAGAGAGATTAGGAGAACCCAGGGTCTAATCCTGAAGGTGAGCAGGAGCTAAGGCCCCAGCTGGTGGGTGAAAACGAGGCCTGGGGCAAGGCCGACAGGGCAGAGCCAATAGGTGCGCACCTGGGACTAGGGCCAGGGCGCGGGGGTGTCTAGGTCTGTCGAAGGTACCTGCACTCAGAGCCAGTGGAGCTCCTGTCCCCAGGCTCTACTGCATCCTCCCTGGGAAGAAGCAGGCCTGTCTGCAACAGCCAGCCAGCTCAGCCTCCCTGAAGGCCAAGGTCGCGTCAGACCCTGAACGAATGCCGGAGATCCCTAAGAGGGTATTTCTTCCTGCGGAGGTGGCTTAGGCTAGACCAGACCCAAACTGTCATTAGTTGAGAATCAAAGGGAGACTTAAGGGTCTGTTCTGCAAGAGTAGGTTGGAAGAGGTCTGCAAAAAGCTCCTTTCCCTGCTTCTTCTCCTACAGCACCCTCAAGAAAAGAAAAAGAAAAAGCCTCAAGGAACTGGGCTGAGGCTGCTGACTGCACCTTTTTCCTCATATGTGTGGCTGGTGTGGTATGTGGCCAGTTTCTCTTTGTTGGAATCTGGATGTGGGCAACATGTAACTCCGACCCTGCCCCTGCGGAGGCTGTTCGCCACAGCCTGGGATGTCACGGGGCAGGGCCAGTGCCCAGACTGTAGGATGCAGTGTAGCTCCCCATAGCTGGGGAAAGGGCCAGGCCAGGGTCTTTGGAGAGGGTGGAGGGAGGGCTGGCTCTTCCCTACCCTGCAGGGCCCCAAGTACCACAAGTTCCTGGCTCTGTATGAATACATGCAGAGCAGAGTGGAAATAAACCCCTTACCCAAGGGCAAGAGCGTCTCCAGCATCGGCCTTCACTAACTTAGCTGTTCACGCTTGTGCTAAGCAGGGGGCCGACTTCACATACCTGCCGTCCTACTTTGCTCCTGGACCCCACAGCCCATCCACTAATTGCCCAGAACACACACGGCCTAACTGCTTGTTTTGTGACTGCTACTGTCTGGGCCTGGGCCAGGAGGTGCTGATACTGGGGACCACGAGATGATGCTGAACGGCTGGCCTCAGAGGGCAGAACTTCGAATGTTTCCTGCAGCACACTGGACTCTACAGGGCGTAGACAGAGAGGCTCCTCCTCACCACCTAGAGAGCTTCGAAAAGGCCAAACATCCCCAGGGCTGAAGTCTGGGGCCCTCACACTATATCCAAGAGACACAGTCAGCCCTAGGGCCTCCCTCTGGCTAGGACACAGCAGGCTCCTCTGAGCCCCACCCACATCTCTGGGCTGGATGACAGTTCTCCATCTCCGGGTCTGAACTAGGCTGGGGAAGGTCTGTCTACCTTTGAGGGGGCTACACAAAGCAGCTTGGGGCATAGGCCTCTGGCTTCCTTCTCTCCTTTCTCAGCAGCCATCGGTGGCCCTGGTTGGTAGTGCTCAATCACAAAAGTGAAGTTCTGAAAGGTTCCTGTGTCCTGGAGAAGTGCTGCTTTGAAGTGATGCAGGGAAGTGGATACCTGGACAAGGGGCACAGGGATAGGGCTCCTGGATGGGGTAGTGAAGAAAAGTCTCCGCCCCAAAGGACTTCAAACTCACCCAGCCCAGACGTGAGTTAACACTGGTTTATCTGTCCAATGACATGGCTAATCTGACGGAACCAAGCAGGGACGCTGGCAGGCTTAGGCAGAGGTGTCAAAAAGGCGATCGATCATATCGCCCACCTGCTCCACGCGGTACTTGATGTACTTCTCGGGGTTCTTGGTGAAGGGCACGCTGCCATACCTGCCCAGGCATCAGGGTTGGGGGAGGGGACAGGTTAAGCCTTCCTCAGCTTCCCCCCTCCACCTAAGCACTTCTGACAGACTTCAGAGGTGCCCCTGTGTGGTGGCCTCAAACCCAAGACACTGACCCTGCTGCTAAGTTCTGCCAGCCCCCCTTTTTCCCTTGAGACACACAGCCCAGCAGGCAAGTGGCAGTGCCCTGCTGCGGAGAGATGGGCAGGGAGGCTCACCTGTGCAGAAAGACCCCATAGGTCTCCTTGACGATGTTTTTCTGGGCCTGGCGAATCTTGTCTCTCTGTTCTGTATCTGGAATGGCCCAGGCCTTCTGGATCTTGCACAATTCTTCGAGGCCATCGTTGAAGCCCTGGTCATCAAAGTGGCAGAAAGGGAAGGAAGAGACCAGAGTCAAAAGTGTTCAGTCTGTATCACCACAGTGCCAGCAGGAAGCAGTGGAAAGAGGAGGACCCTGACTCACCTTAAAACGTTCCTTGATCATCTGCCGCTCCTTATCCCGAAGCTGGGAGGCCCAGGGGAGCCAGGGAGAAGAGAGAGAACTTTGCTCACAGCAGAACCATCCCACTCTGCTGCTTTTCCAAACAGGGTGGCCCCAGGCCTCTCTTGCTGCCCCCATGGCCACATGCTCACTTTGCTCTCTGATCCCAGAAGGTCACTTGTCCATTTTAAACCAGAGATGTGGCAAAAAGTATCACATCTGCTCAATGCCCCTTCCCAGACCAGGCCTTTGAGCCCACCTTGACTCCAGGCTGGAACACAGGTAGATTCTTCTCTGAGATGTAATCAGTCACCTTTAACCAACTGCCAGACAGCAGGGAGAAAGGCATGAGCCAGGGAGGGACAGCTGTGCCTTCCCTGATTCAGGCCTGGTTTTTCGTTTCTTGTTTCAGTATTTGCGGACCTACTAGGGGAGGGGTTGGTAAGGATGGATCTTGGTCACAACTAAGCAAATACCTGGATCTTTTCCTTGGCAACAGAAAATGTTTAAGCCACTCACTTTAAAAATCAAGAACAGAACACAAAGAGTGTTCAGTAAGTTGAGCAGTCAGATGTACTTCCCATGCATATCATGGTCCATTAAGAATAGAATCACATGAGAAAGGAGGGGGCGGAAGACAAGTAAATGGGAAGCATGAGAAACTCAAAGGGAAAAAAAAGCCTAGGAGAACAGAGGTCCAAAGAAGCAGCGAGAGCAGGGGAGAGGGCCAGCTCAGCCAAGTTCAAGGATCCTCGAAGCCCTGCTCTCCTACTGGGCAAAGCGTTACCCACATGCCTGCCAGGGGCTCCCCACCATCCCTAGATTTGGCACCTGGAAGACCACTCTGAAGAGGCCCTGCAAGCCCGAGGGGACCAGGTAGTGAGGGAAGCCATCCTTTTCTTTCCACTGTGTGAATTTGACTTTTTCAAAACATTGGAGAAAAGAAAATAAATAAATAGAAATTTCAGGAAAAAAAAAAAAGGCTGGGGTGTAGCTCAGTGGAACAGCCCATATGTAACAACATGCACAAGGACCTGGGCTCCCTCGCCAGCACCAACAAACTCTGGAACTGAGTGGAGGCTGGGGTCTGCAGGGCAGCCCACCCCACACACACTGAGGAGAACAACTGTGCTGGACCCAATACACTGGGGGTTGAGCTGGGGCAGCTCAGGCCCTGGAGGATGGCGGGCACCAGTCACCTGCGCTGGTAGGTTTGGATCTGCTGCTCGATGTGCTCCCGGTAGGAGCGTTCAGCAGTCTTCTGGGTCACAGCCACCAGCTGAATCAGCTCAGACCTGGGCACAGGAAAGGGAAGGCGCAGAGAGAGTGAGGCTCGACTCCAGAGGCCCAAAGGCTGCTGGGCTCAGCACTAACACCAGGAAGGAGGGGCTCCCTGTCCATCTTACTCATCCACAGCTCTCAGGAGGCAGCACTCAGCCTTCTTGGGTCTGGGCTACGAGGACTGAGAGCCCCCTCCTGCCCGTGCACGCAGGAGCAGGAGGCTGTGGAGGGCACAGGGGAAGAGTGCAGAGCCGTGCCTGTAGCCACTTACTTCTCCAGGGACTTAAGGATGTAGTTGTAGTTGTTGTGTAGGAAGATGGCGCTCAGGGCTGGGTCTTCATACACCTTGGACTTGCTCAGCAAGTTCAGCTGCAGGTTGCCCAGGACTTTACCTGCATAGGGAAAGATGGGGCCGTGCCTGCCAATCTTACCCCAGTGACCCACCATAGGGCCCACTAGCCAGTTCCCAGCCACGGCTCCTCATCTACCTGACTCTGGGGCATTAGGAATCCTTCCAAATCCCACTGACCCTGAACTGGAGTTTAGGTTGCCCTTGCAAGGTCAGAAGAGGACCAGTGAATATATGGAGGCCCCAGAAAGGGCTTTCCTGGGACAGAAGGATTCTGCCTGAGAGACACTCACAGATGTAGGTGCTCAGCAGTCGCTTGCTAAACTCGGAGCTGTAGCTGGTGGCCGAAGAGCTGGTTTCTGTGACAGGAGAAGTCCTATTACTGCGGTGGCAGTGACCAAGACCTGTCCCACCTCCCACCCCCAAGGAGCAGTGGAGGAAACACTGGGAGAGGCCTTGGGCTTCCTAGGGCAGAGGACGCAGCCAGAGCAAGCATCTACCGAGTCACAGGGCTGCATCCTACCATGGGAAGTGCTGCCCTAACCCCTGGAACCCAAGGCCACCCCTCTATCATGGCGGGGTGTCAGTAGGAAGGTTGATGGGATGAGTGGGATACTAGGACCCCAACCTCCATCCCCCAGGCCCCCCGACCCATCCTAGGCAGTTGTCTGGAAGAACCCTTTGCCCATTTGCCAACAGTGAAGAATTAGAATGGGGTACCACAGCCTCTCCATCTTTTTTCCACATTCTACAGCCTCACTACTGGGTCATACTGAATAGAGGACCTGTTGTCCAGAAGGCTGAGGCAGAGGGGCAAGTTTGCCTGATGGGCATATCTGGGGTGTGGGGACACAGCAGGGTGCTGCCCTGGTGGGCTCAGAGACAGAAGATGGCCAAGACACCAGTGTGGAGAGGTGAGAGCACCCTAGAAGAACTCTTGACCCTCTGACCCAACCTCTAACAGGCCCTGTCCCCAGGGAACCTCACCCGTGGGGCTTCAGAGGGGGAGAAAGGGGCTGCAGAGCCGCACTGCTTACCTCGGGGGTCTAAAGGAATATTGTATGTGTCCCCAAGAACTACAAAATGAAAGGCATTGCACACAGAGGGGGATGAGAGAAACAGAGGAGGGAGAAAGATGCAAGTTCAAAAAACAGGTTAGAAATGGCTGCGTCACCCAAGTCAAGCAGCCCTCACCCCGTGATAGCCAGGGACAGAAGCAGGACACACCAGGCCAGACCCTCTCAAGGCTAGGGAATGCATGGAAAGTAGAAACTCAAGAACCACAGGCCAGAAGCAGCTCCTTGGCAACTTGTCCCCAAATCGGGGCAGACAAGGAGGGGCTGGGGAACCCAGAAGACTGTTCCTCTTTCCATGCCAACCTTCCAAGCCCCAGCCCCTGGGTAGTGATCAGAGGGAGGACACCCAGCTGGCCTCAAGGCTTCAGCCCTTCAAGGGACAGCTGTGGGACCAGTCAGGAGTACGGTAGACATGGGAGGCTGTGGAGGAGCATATGAGGGAGGCAGGGCATGGAGAGCATCTCCAGGTTATAGTGCCCACCCCAGAGTAAGGTGGCCACAGGAGTGAGGGAGGCACTGAGGGGTCACAGAGGCAGCAGCAATCCTGTTCCCCTGATGCTCAGCCCATGATGGCCCCAGTGGTCCCCTCACAGGCCACATCTGAACTGCACTCCCCGGGTGAGAAGAGACCCCTCTCCTAGCCCTGCCTTCACCCTCCGGAGGTAGCGCCTCCTGGGAGCCTAACCCCATGTCCACAGGCAAGAGGGAGCAGGTGGGGCCTGAGTACCTTGGGAGGCCAGCATGGCGCCTGCTGTCTCCTGGAAGTCCAGAAGCTGCTGCAGGAAGAGAATGGCCTGGCAGGGAGGATATGGCCCAGGAGGATGGTCAGGGCAGGGCCCAGGCCCATGCCCTCTACGTGCCCTTATATGGCTAGCAGGGAAGCTCAGGGGCCAGGGATCTGCCCAGCAACAAAGGTGGCTGGAAACTTTATATTTCACCCTATGGGCTCTTGCTACCCACAGATCCTGTCTTCCAGAGATTCTCTACAATGGCCTGTCCATCTGCCACAAGCATTCACAAAGGCCAAGAGGCCCCAGACCAGGCTGGCTCCTGCCCAAGGGTGCTGGCCTGGCGCCTGAGCTAGAACCCGCACCTCCCAGGGTCCCGTGGGGAGCACCTACGTTGCTGGTGAGCTCGTGCACAGTGCCATCCTTGGGCATATTGTACTCCTTGTCTGGATCATTCTGTGGAGAAAAACAACTGGTTCCTTCACACAGCTTCCAAGGCAGCCTCAGGCTCAAGCCATGCTCCAGTCCGCTTGCTCAGCGCCACCTCCTGGCAATGGGTGTTAAGATGCCCTGCACCCTCAGGCTAAGCAAGATGGCAGGACAGAAGCGCCTCAGAGCCCACAAGGAGACAGCCTGACAGGAGTTGACAGGGAACTGGAGCACAGTGGCTTCTCTAAGGACAGACTTGCGCCTCGTGCAAGCCTGCTCTCTGAGAGTCCCCACACCCAGGCTGCCAGACCTGGCGGGAGGAGAGGAAGTACCTTGATGTTGTCTGCAAAGTCCTCCAGCGCCTTTGCTCCAATGGTCTCCATGGAGGTGATGAGGCCAGGGAGTTTGTTCTTGGTGCTGGCAGCCGTGCCCTGGGGAAGCACAGTGTACAGCCCCAGCCACACCCTCTGGAGCAGGCTGTATGTGGAGCCCAGCTCCTTCTGGTCACCTCCCTGCCCCTCCCTGGGGGATTGAGCGTCTGCCAGCTCTTCCTCAATCACCTGGGAGTGTCCTGACTTGCCCAGGGCCCTGCAGAAGCTACTATTCTTCACTCAGAAGACTGGGGGGCTATGCAGGGAAAGCTGAATTCTTCCTTTGTGTGTCCCCAAGGGCCTCCCTGTCACATACCTGGAGCACCTGGTCAAACTCAGGTTTGGTCTGCTTGAGGTGCCGCAGGATGGGGAAGACTGTGAGCACTGTGGAGAAGTCATGGCGAATAATAGCCTTCCGGGCAGCAGACACGATGTTCTCCCCCTCAAGCATCAGGCCGTCCAGTGCATCCTGAGGGAGGGACCGGGTCTACCTCAAGAAGGGCAGAGCAGAGAGCTGGCTCCCAGGGACAGCAAAGATATCTCACTGAGGATGAGGGGAAGCGAGCTGCTGGGGCAGAAGATGGGGGTACTGAGCAACCTCCCAGGACAGATCCCAGGCTACGATGTGGTGCCTAGAGTTGAGGGCTTCAGGTAACAGGCCTTCCCCACGCTCAGGACTTTACAGTGACAGCTTGGCTGGGGCTGCTGGGCAGACACCCAGAGCAGGGAAGGACAGGCAGAACCTGTATCAAGGAGTCAAAGGTTTTCTTCTGATGGTGCTCGGGGATGATGTCTGTCAGCAGTTGGTACTCGCTCTGGGCCAGCTTGACGAAGGCACTGACACAGTGAATGTAGGCATCGGTCTCCACATCCAGCATGTCATCTCTCCCTGTGGGGACAGCAGTACTCGAGCTGCTGGTCTGGTGGCAGCTATTCACTCCTGCTGGAGGGACGTGGGTTTCCCGGCTCCTGCCCTGCAACCCAGACCAGCAGTGGGTGGAAGAGGGAGGGTAGACTGCTCTGGCAGGAAGTTACAAGGACTCTGGCAGGCCCATCCAGGTTCAGGGGAAAAATCAGGAGCTGAGTCCAGCCTGGCTTCATTCTCAGTTCTGCACAGACAGTGCTTATGGCTTCAGGGCATCAGACACTACAGTTGGTGGAGAAATGATAGAAGGAAGAGCCCTAACTCAACTTCCTAGATAAGGCATGTCTGACCCCAGGGCTGAGGGTTCTCATCTATGCCTAGAAGAGAGCAGCCTAAGATGGGCCAGTGGCATTGCCCTCCTCATAGAAGCAGGACTGCGGTCCTCCACCTGAGAAAATGCTGGGTTTGTGAAGGCCAGTCCAGCAGGTCTTCTGAAATACATACACACACAGCCTGGCTGGCCGGGGGCAGCAGCTGAGAAGAGGTGAGCTCCTGAGATGGAGAGTGTGGCTGTCAGCTGCCCTGGGAGGAGACGGCATTCTACTTGTGGAGGCCAGGCCAGGGCACTGCAGACAAGGCCAGCAGAGAACGGCTTGATCCACGTGCCAAGCGGCAGGTCCTGAGACGTCAGATGTCAGGGCTTTCAGCCCTCGTTGCCTTTCCCTCTGCCTGCTTTCAAGCAGTGACCAGCAGCTTCTCCCCTGGCCCAGGCCCTGAGAGCCAGGCATGCATTCTCATCTCAAGTCAGGCAAGGAGGTCTAGTGCCCAGAGACCAGAGTGAGTGCCAGGTAGTAGCCCAGCTCGTCCTTGGAGCGGAACAGGCCCCCCTGGGCAGGCAGCAGCAGGCCATCCAGGGACTGTGCGAAGGCAGTATCGGCAGCTGCCTTCGGGCTGGGCTAATGGTACTCACCAGCCAGTGGCCCGTGCTTGTCGTTCAGGGCCTCAGACAGGTGCTTAACTCGGAAATCATGCTTGTGACCTAGCAAGATGTCAGCCACACAAACACAAGCAGCATTTATCCAGGGCCAGGCAGTTGCCTCTCAGGGTATGGGGAAGAAGCTCTTATCTCCAGACGGGGCATGTGAAGTGGACGCAGGGATGGGGCAGTGGGAAGGGCACCAAGGCCCTTCTCTGCCTCAGACCACCATAGGAACAGCCGTTTCAAGCCTGACTTGCAGCGAGTGCCCAGGACCATCCGGCCTGTTGTTCCCTGAGCCTGGGAACTGAGAAGAATGGGCTGAGCTAGGAGGGCCTGTGGCTCAGCCTCAGAGGGTCTCTCCACCCCACCGAGAGTGACTAGGGACAGCCTTGCATTGTCTCACAGGCTGACACTTTTGAAGGCGGGCTAGGTCTACCAGGGCAGCTAACCTGGCCATCCCTGCCCTGACCGAAGGGAGCAAGCGACATGGCCTCAGGCTGCCTGTCCTCCTGCTGTGCAGAACCCCATTTCTAAAAAAGAGGGTGGCTGGAAGGCCTTTGCCAGCTTGGTCCTGCCACTGCTGGTCTCGGCGTGAAAGGGCTGCCCCAAGACAAAGAACTTTCTCTGAGTTCACACGGGAGACAAGGACAGAGACAGGGAAGGGGAGTGGGGAGCCTCAGGGAGGGCAGAGCTGCCACCAAGGACTTGCAGTTCCCACCCTGCTCCCTCAGGATTTCTCCTCAGGCCCTCCTGGGGGGAGGCTCTGCCCTGCCAAGTGAGTGGACACACAGTGGAGGAAGAGGGGCTGGGAGGAACACAGGGTGATTACCTTCCAGAGGAATGAGGTTAGAGCCCCCCTTTTTCCCATCTAGACCATGCTGGGAATACTGTTTCAGAAGGTTCTGAGCCTTACGGATCGTCCCTGTCACCAGAGCCACACAGAGAAGAAATAAGAAGACCTAGGAAATGAGTGAGAGAAAACAGCAGCGGCCCTCCACCTGCCCAGCCCACGCCTCCCCAGCAGCGAGCATGCCCCTCTATCTCTCCCAGCAGGCCCAGCCCCACGGCCAACAGAGTCCTCGGTGGTGGGAAGAAGGAACATCTCATTCTCCCATCTGCTGTTGGCCCTCACTATTTTGGGTTTTTTACTTCAGAGATCCACCAGAAATTGAAAATAAACCATTCTATGAGTACACTTTAATTGGCATGGACAGAGAAGCTGGTGACAAAGCTTTTAACCTGGAGGGGACAAGTCAGCTGGCAGAGCCTGGGGACCCCTGCAAGCCCAGCCTCAAACTCCAGTTTCCTAAGCATGCTCAATGTTGGGACCCAGGCAGATAGCAATCCATGGGAAGCAACCTGGGGTTATGCCCAGCTGGAGGTTCTGAGACCGAAAGGCAGTTGTTCCTACACCAGGGGAGTCATTCAAGCCACCACAGCCATGGGAACAACCAAAAAGCCAGGAAGGCGCTAACAAAAGCCACCACTGGAAAGGGAGAGGAGGAAGAAAGCGCACATGCTCTTGGCGTGGGGGGAAAAAAGAACAGTTAGTATCACAAGTGAAAACAATACAAACAAAACCACCACACCCAGAGCCTGGGGGCCAGCTGCCTCTGTGGGAATGAGACATCTTAGGGTAGAAAATGTAGGGGCACAAAGTAGCATTCAAGCAGACAGGTCCTGTTGCATAATCAAAAAAATATACTAGGGAAGGAAAGTTGATTAAAGTGGACAGAGATCCACCTGAGGTCAAAAATACAAATTTTACTGTGTGGCATTTTAATCAGCATAGACAGAAGGTAGCCTTTTCTGCAGACCGCCGCTCCTATAGATCCGATCTCAAGGTGGCTGCTATGTTCTGGCAGCTCCCCTTGAGCTGCAGCAAATTAACCAGGGATAACCCCATCTGGCTGGCCTAGTGACATCTGTCGCCCCTATATTGCCTCCTTCAGTGCATTCCTCGCTAATGAGCAAATCAGATTCTTATCCCACAACAAACCAAGAGCAGACACCTACAGGGGCCTAGCCAGCAGCAGAGGGGCATCAGAGATGATAACCTGGCAACCACCAAACCTGCCAGGCACCCTGCTACCAGGACCAAAGCTGAAGCTGGTGTCTCATCACAGACCAGGCCTCCCTGCTCCTCTCCTCAAGGCATGGAACAGATGTCCCAGGAGCCTAACTTCTTAACGTCCAAGCCCACCTGCTTACATCCATTCTTGAGACCCTATAAAACCCACAAGTGTCCTCACAGCCAATCTACCTTCTTGTGTCTCTGCACCAAGAGCAGATTAGGTCTATGGTAAGCCCTGAGGTCAGATCCTTTCTCCCAAAAGGTCTGGGCTCTGCATGGCCAGGGCACTCTTGGGTGGTACAAACAGGGTCTGTCTGGGACTTCCAGGGGTCCTTTCAGAGAACAAGGCAGAGGTGAAAGTGAGCACAGAGTGGCTGAGGTCCAGGTAGCCAGGCAGTCTCACACAGATGGCTCTTTCCTGGCACGATAAAGGCAGAGATGGGCTGGCTGGCCACACAGGCGGCTGCAGCCAGGCAGCCTCGGTCAGTAAAGTCACTGTTGGCAGCAGGTCCTCTAAGGGGTACCGTAGCATCCACTCCAGGGGAAGAAGACAGTGCACTTTCTGCCTGTACCATGGCCCAGTTCCTTCATGCTGTGCTACTCACTTGTATCCTGAGGGTAGCCTCCACTTGTTGGGTGCCCAAACCCTAAGTAAAGGCCTGAGGAGAGCAGGTGACCCGGCTGGATGTGAACAGACACCTGCTGTCTGAGGGACTGGAGAAATGGGGCAGTGAGATGAGGGTGAGCTCTACACAAAGTCTTCGGTCATGAAGGTGCATATGCAGACCATGCTCTGGGAAGTGCCTGTAGCCGCTGAGGGACCCAAAGTGGTCTTTTCTCCAGCTGCTACCTCAGCACCCCCCACCCAGTACATCTGGCCTCTCCGAGAACTGAGGGCAGCTGCTCTGGAGGCAGAGACAGCCAGGCTTGCTCAGCCACAACATGCAGATGCTGTTTACCTGCAACAAGAGCTGCAGGGAATGTGAAGAGGGGAGAATGGAGGGCTGTTTTCAGGACCACAACAACCCGTAGCCTACAACTCTTACCCTATGCCCTTCTCTGCCTTCCACAAGGGATTAACCGCATCAGAGCCCAAAGCCAGTTCAGGTTCTTCCAAAAGGACGGTCTAGGATTTCTCTCCTTTCTGAATCAACTGTGAAGTACAAATCTCCCCTTCCACTTGGCAGCTGGGTGGGGGAGACTGCAGGGCCAGACCTCCCATCCCATTATTTAGGCTGCAGCAGCACAGCTGAACTTCTGACAGAACAGAGGGCTGGGAAGGGGCCTACCAATGGTCCCCGTCCCCCTGCCTCCGGAGAGCTAACTGAGCATGTCTGTGACTCCCATCCCACTTCAAAGACATTATGGAACCCCTAGACTGGACTTGTCAGGCTCTCCAGAGCCTGAGCCATGCTCTCCAGGAACTTGCTGGGTGGACAGACACCTGCTTCCTGTCCTGTGCACCTTCAGCTAGGACTCTCATGAAGCCAAAGCCTAGAAGCAGGATGCTACTACTGACTCCAGCTTGGGAAAAAGCAATCCTGGTCCCAGGTAGCCCTTGGGCTGGTGCTGACATGGGCCATGGTGGGGGCTCACCTGGCCGCTTGATTGGCTTCTTGGTGGGTGTATCCTTTCTCTTATTGGGGATGGCAGGGGAGTAGGGAACCCCAGAGGAAGAACTACTCTTCCGGAAATGCTCCTTTAGGCCCTTGATGGAGCGGTCCAACTGGCTGGAGCGTATCTGGTAGTAGACATTCATGAAATCTGAGGAGAGACAGCAAGAATGGATGGCAGCTGGGGTCCCTGCCTCTGCCTCCCGACAGGGCAGCACCGGAGCCCAGTATGGCTGCTTGGTCACCCTTCCCAGCACCTGTGGTGGCCCACAGTCATCATGAGGCCTCTCAAGTCAGGTAAAGTCAAAGAGAAAACTATCCCCCAATAGAACTGACAATTATAAGTACTTTTTTTTTTTTTTTTGGTCTTTTTAAGACAGGGTCTTACTATACAGTTCAAGCTGGCCTTGGGCTCACTTTGTAGCCTAGGCTGGTCTTCAACTTGCAAAACAATCCTCCTGCCTCAGCTTCCCAAGTACTAGAATTATAGACATGAGCCACCACTCTCAGCTATTTAATGGTACATTTAAAAAAAAATTAGGGCCAGGGATTTAGCTCAGCGGTACAAGCACCTGTTTGGCAAACTCAAGGTCCTGAGTTTGATCTCTGGCACCAAAAAAAAAAAAAAAAAAAAAAAAAAAAAAAAAATTATTTATTTTGAGACAAGGTCTGTGTGTGTTGTCCAGGCTAGCCTCAAACTCCTGGGATCATGGGATCCTCGTGCCTCACCATCCCAGAGCGTTATAAAACATGTGCCACTATGCCTATTTTTTTAAAAATAAAAAATAGAAAATTAACACCCAGATTTAACTTGGTCAAAAGGTTAAGAAATATTATCAAGCAGAAGAGGAATAAATGTCAATGACTGAAAAACACAACTATATCATTAGACACTAAAAATGTAAATAAAAAATAAAAATAGGACTTGATAGTGTAGTTGAATGGTAAAAATAATGAAGAACTAATAGCCTGTTAATGAGTGTGTTGATTGGTGTCCATCTGAGGAGGAACTGGCAATGGACAAGACGACATCTGATTACTGCAACATTTGAGAGCTATCCTCAGAACTGCCTAAACATATCAGAAAACTAGATAATCCCAATGTGCATATGAGCAGGGAAAAAGATATGGAGACCATGATCATTTCAGCAGTTACCAACCAACGTCCTACAAGAAACCCCAATGTAGGAGATGGACCCAAGTAGAGACTCTGGCTGAAGATTCTGAGGGTCCTAGAAGGTGTCTACTCAGCCTCCTGGATTCCCATGGAGCCTCTGAAAATCCTCCACCAAACCCAAAGTGCACCCCAGTACAAATCCTGAACCATGAATCTGTTCATGTAGCCTGATACATCTGGGCTGTAAAACATAAGACTGCTACTGCAGTCCTCCTGAGAAGGTGGGAACCATCACAGATAAAATAGCACACATCGACACACTAAGCGGAGACCAGAGTGGATAGCCCAAGAGTATACAACACAATAATCACTGGAGTTATTTTCTAAAAATTGTGGTTGAGTCAATTTTTTTTAAAAACTCTAACAGTACGAAAAGAAATAGTACCACCATACCAGAGATAATCAGGCAGCTATAGAAAAAAATGAAACCAGCCTACATATACTGATATGAAACCATCTCAAGGTATATCATGAAGTTAAAAAAATAACTACAGGTAAATGTTTAAAACATCACCTGCTTTATACAGAGTTTAATATGCAAACATTATATTAATAAGTGGAAGAGCTTGGGGAGTAAGGAGAGGAAGCACACATTCATTCTCTCACATACATACACTGCGGCATATTTTCTGGAGGGTTGTAGGGAGCGGTGCGACCGCCCCACTACTGTCTCCCCGCCTCTCCCTCCTATGGGCACATAATGTGCCTGCCTACATTAACCATAATCCTCTCCTACTTACGTCACGTACATGGACATGAGGACGACCCATCAGAGATCATCCCATAGCCTTTTCCTGCCCCACCGGCCAGCCCCTGCCCTATAAAAGCAGCGACCACTTTATCAATAAATGAGGCTTGATCGGATTTTCTCGACTTGTCTCTGTTTCTCTGTCTCTGGCCCTGTCTGTGTTAATCCCCATTCCTTCTCTAGGAAACTGCCTCATGGATCCAGATTGACCCACAGGCCAGGTCAGAGAGGCATAAATAAATCTTAATATCTGCTAATCTTTGGGTTACAATGTAGGCAGCAGGAAAGTAGGGAGAAGAACTTCTACTTTTCACTTATGGTTTCCTACATGATCTGAAAAATTCATAACCAATAAAAAAAGTAAACAAAAGGTACATAAAAGTTTGGATTCGGCTAAACTCACATTGTAATATTGAAGCTATTAAATTACTGCTCATGTTTTTTACTACTGAACTTCCTTTTACTTTTTTTTTTTTCCTTTTTATCGGTACCGGGGATCGAACTCACGACTGCCTGCTTGCAAGGCAGGTACTTATGCCGCTGAGCTAAATCCCCAGGCCCTGAACTTCCTTTTACTAAAAAAAAAAATCCAGCTGGGTGTGATAGCACATACCTTAGTTCTAGCACCCAGAGGCTGAGGCACAAGGATTGGTGTGAGTTGGAGGCCAGCCTACACAGACCTGCCTCAAAATCCAATCAACCAGTCAATCAATCAAATCCAGATAGATGAAGAATAAAATGAGGAGTGGCAACGCTCCTGTTTCCCCAGGCCTGCTGCTGGACAGGACCAACAAAAGCCTTCTCACCTTGGTTACGGCCATATTCCACCAGCCAGAGGGAGATGCGGACCACATCCTGGAGCACGCTTTCAGGTAGGTGCTCCAGAGCCACGTCCTCCTGGACCTCTAGGTCCTCGTCGCCACTGATGAGATCCAGGATGAGCACGGGGGAGACGACCTTACTGTGTCGGGTCATCAGGCTGCGGAACTCGGACTCCAGTGACTCCTTCCCCCGCTCAAACAGCAGCTTCTGCGAGAAGAGCCGAAGGCAGCGGCTTGTTTTGCTGTCGCTGCTACTGCACTGATTCTGCAGCTCCCACTCTACCTTCCTGCCTCAGGCTCTCTGCCTTACACTGGCTTTCTTCCTTCAACCCCAAGAAGAGACATCAGGAAGCCTTTCTTTGTTTCTGAGGGTGTGAGGGACACGGCAGTTAAAGCTAGGGCCTTGTGCACGCTAAGCAAGCACTCCACCACTGAGCTGTATCCCTCCCCTCTTTACTTATTTTTAAACTTTGAGGCAGGCCTTGCTAACCCATTCAGGCTAATCTTGAACCTTCTTGCCTCAGTCTTCGGAGTAGTTGGGATTACATGTACGCACCACTGTGTGCAGTGGGGAATCCTGATTTGATTTCTTTACCTTATTTTTTCTCAAAAGGGATAATCACAGATATGACCCAAAATTTTATAAAAAGCAGCAGATTAATAAATATTGGCTGTTTCCTCACTTTCATTGTTAATTTGTTTCTTGTTAGAAGTTTTCAAAAGAAATAATAAACTATATCAAATGGGAAACTTTTATGCTCCAAAAGCTACCATTAGGAAACTGAAAAACAACTTGCTGAATGAGAAAATATTTACAAATTATATATCTGGCAAGGGACAGATACCTAGAACATAAGATTAAAAATGCATATCCACATAAAAAGTGTGTACAGAGCTGGGAAGGTAGTGCATGTCTATAATCCCAGCATTTGAAAGGCTGAGGCAGACGGATTGCTGCAAGTTTGAGGCCAACCTGGGCTACATGAGTTCAAGATCAACCTGAACTACATAATGAGACCTTGTCTCAAAAAAGCAAAACCAGTTCACAAGAACAGAACAAAACAGACGAGTGTACCAGAAGATTCACAGCAACATTATTCACATCGGTGGAAACAACCCAAGTGTCTATCACAGGAGAGATGGATAAGTGAAATGTATCCTATCCACACTATTTGGCAATAAAAAGGAATGAAATATGATACATGCTACAATGTGGATGAACCTTGAAAACTTATGCTAAATGAAAGTTGTGGGGAGAAAAAGTTGTGAATGGCCACCTATCATATGCCACCATTTACATAAGAAGTCTAGGCTAGGTGAATCATATGGATGGATTACAGTGACTACCAGTGGGGGACAAAGGGGAGAGGGCAGAGAGGGACAGCAACTGCCAGTGGGTCAGAGTTCCTTTTTCAGATGATCTACAGAGTTCTAAAGCTGATTCTGGTGATGGATGCACAACTTCCTAAATACATTCATTTTACACTCTAACTTCATGTTATGGAAATTATATATCTTAATGAAGATGTTAAAGAAAGAAAGAGAAAAATGTTTTTGCTTAAACAGAACTCTTAGTTTCATGTCTTTTGCACTCTCCTTCTCCATCCTACTTGAACTTGTGATCCTCCTGCCTCATTCTACCAGGGAGTTGGGGTTACAGGTGTGCATCACTACACCCAGCTACTGTACACTTCTTTAGCTGATCTAAAACCCCCCATGAGATGGCACAGGGACTGGTATCCCCAAACTTCTCACAACATTCCACTAGCCCCTTACCACTTTGTTGAGTTCTGGGCTGTCTGGGCTATTGTCCTGGAAATACTCCACAGCCTTCTGAATCTTGGCCATGCTTCCCAGGTACTCTTCCAGCCGACCTGTAGGGCTGCAAAGAAAAAGGGCCAGGTCAGCCTGGGAGGATGGGGAATGAAGAGGGAGTAAGGGAATGGTATGTGAAAGGGGAAGAAGAGAATCCACACAGGGAACTTTAGCCTTAAATTTATTCTACTCCCTCTTCTCAGGCCTAGGCCACTACTAGGATACACTAGGAATATGACCCTCTGTGCCTAGCTCACCCTTCCTTGATGATCTTCTCAGTGTCACTAGCCACATGGTAGTAGCTGATGACATGGTCCAGGCAGGATAGGGTCTTCTCAACGTTCTCCTGCAATCGTTGCAGATTCTCTGTTTGCTTGTGCACCGGGATGATGGAGTTCTCCAGCTTCATGAGGCGGCTCTCAAAGGATGACAGGATAGACACCTGCAGAGGGAAAACCTCTTGCTCCCAGGTCTCAAGACCATCCCAGCACTGCCTCTGCCCACCTAGAGGCTAGCTTCAAGACAAGAAGCTCCACACAGGAAGGGGCATGGTTTTCCTATAAACTATATCCCCGGAATGTACCATGTGCCCCCAGCATAAAAGGTGGTCCACAATAAACTGCTTGAAACTTGAAGGCGAGTCAAGCATCAAATTAGTTCTTCCAAAGATGATCATCTCAGGATAGTATTCCTTCCACTCTCTGAAGTCAAAGCTCAATTTCTATTTTCTCTGAAGCTTTTCTAGTTTGAACAGGAAATAGTTTCACACAGAGTAGCCTCAAATGCATTGCTGGTACCTTCAAAACTCCCCCTCTCTTAGAGTCACTAGGACTTGGTGGTGTCATTAATTACAGATCCAAGTTTGTCTTTGCTCAATCCCTGCTTTTTCAGTCTCCCCTAGGAATAAAGGACACGCACTTATTGAGTGCCAAGCACTGTGCAAGATGTGTTAAATGTATTGGCTCACATGTCCTTCATAGTCACATGGGGAGATTGCCACTGTCTCTGTTATAGCAGACAAGTTAACTGATACTCAGAAAATTACTTGCCAGGAACCACACAGCAAGTAAGCTGCAGGGCAAGGTCTAGATCTCAGGTCTGCTCAGAGCTCATTCCGTCCCTAAAGGCCTTGGGGTGAAAAATGTGCATTCTCTGCCCTTAGTAATCCACATGTGCCAACCTCACTTGAATGGCCGCTGACACATGGCCAGTACCAGTCCACCTAGCCAATCTACTAAATATCTGCCTATGGAAAGAAAAACTAAAGAGTAGAAAGCCGAAGTCCAGGCCAGCAGGAACTACAATGTACTCAGCACAAGGGTGGGCCACAGGAGTGGGTCTGGGTAAGGGAGGTGCACACTGTTGCTGCAGAAGCCCCCACGTTGCCACCCGCACCACCCACGCCGGGCCCCTAGATCGCCAGGCTCTCCTCCAGGACCGGGGCGTCTTTCCTCCCAGCTGATGGCTTCCTCACCATGTTTTTGGTGAGCTGATCGCTCTTCTCCAAGCTGTCTCGGATAAAGGATAGTGTCTCCTCCTCCTGTGGGGAATGAAAGGGCGGACATCACCAAAGCCTAAGGCTAAAGGAGACAGCTGCTTCCCGGTCCACGGCCTAGGCCCCAGACTCATCTCTTCTCAGCGAGCGCCCCCGTCCCAGCCCGCCTCTTTTCCGAGTGTAACTCCCAGACTCGCTCCTGGCCCCTTTCTGTCGTTTCTCCCCGCCTTCTCCAGCCCCAGGCCCACCTGTTTCAACTTGTCTTCAATCTCCCGCCGCCGGGCGGACGCCTCTTGTGGGGGAATCATTGCTGTGAAGCGTACGTTTCCCACTCCCCAATATCGTTTCTCAGAGGCCCGCTCGGCCTCCGTCTCTGCCACACCCACTTCCGGCCTTGGCCCCGCCCCGGAACGAGGGGTGCCACATTTGGAGTGGCAGGCCTAAGTCGCCTACATGGAGCTTATAGAAGGGGTGATTATGCAGCCATCTTGAGTGTGGCTGGAAAATGGGACCTGCTAGGAACACAGCGTTTTCCTGTGTTTCCGATAACTTGTATCAGCAGAGAAGATTCTGGGGAAGCTGTATGCTTTGCGGCCAGCAGAGTACTTACAACTCACTGTCTTCACTCGTAGTGTGATTCCTTTGATAAAGGCTGCTGGGGAAAGGAACAAATTTGTTTCCCACAAAGCTTTTCAAGTGCAGGTTTGAAGTTGGGTTCGCACAAAAGTTACACTGCTCACACAGTGATTGATGTGAGACCATTTGATGAATCAGGGAATTGTGGAGTCTTTCTTGCTGTCTGTCTGCCCTAAATTTCAAAAAGTGGATTTTAAAAAATTTATTGTTTTTCCATTACTAACAATTGAGCCTAGGGTCTTCTCACTGAACTACAGGTCCAGACCTTTTTTCGTTTTTTTTTTTGTTTTGTTTTGTTTCAGACAGATTTAAGCGCTAAGTTGCCTAGACTGAACATAAATTTGCAACCTTCCTGCCTCAGCCTCCCAGAGTGCTGGCTATGCCTGGCTCATAAAGCAGAATAAGGACTTTGCTTACTTTGGAAGACTCAGATCATTCCAGCTCTGCCAGCAGGTGGGAGTGGGCGTGGGAGGTGGCACTTGTGCCCCTGGCACACAGCTTGGACTTGTGGATCCAGCTCCTGCAAAGCCTTACTCTTTCCTCCATCCCTTCCCTAGCTGCCAAGCCCTGGCTCCTGTCCTCAGCTTTGTTTGGTCCCTTTGTGCTTCCTTGGTGCTGGCATGGAAAGACAGGCAAGGAGGCATGTGCTGGTGCATGATGTTTGGAGGTACCAAGCCCTAATGATCCAGATAGCCAAAGAAGGGAAGGAAATGGGCGCAGAGCCTGGCAGTGAGAGGGGACTGGGCAATTTTTCCACCAAGAGAATAATTTTAGACTTTGTGGACCATCAGGAAATGTGGTGATAAGAGAAATAGAGCTCTGTTGCAGGTAGGGGAGGTAAAAGGCAGAGTTACTGTGTCATGATACCCGAATGATTTCAGCAGTGGTACAGTCCCAACACCAAGTGGGGAAAGTTTAACCTTATAGATATCACAAAGTATCATGAAGTGGCTAGTGGGCTATGGTGGGCCTTGTCTAACATCCAACCTCTCTCCATGGCCAAACAATATAGGTTAGTGACGGTGAGCCTTTTAGAGACCGAGTGCCAGACTGCAACCCTAAAACCCACTTACTTATTCAAAGTGCCAACATGGCAATGAAACCTGAATACTGTGGTTTTAGTTTAGGAAAAAACGACTCTACAGTAACATCTGTGTTAAAAGAAAAACACAATAACACGTGTGACATAGGTTCACCACCACTGATCTAGACCAATAAGATGTGCACACAAAATGCTGTCATCAAATATGTCCAACTTTATACAGCGTTATTTGTATACTGCTTTTCTGCATTTTGTCAAATTTCTTTCAGTGTCTGAAGTGTCATGTGACAGCTAACTGCCGTGTATTGAGAGGCATCTGTTTGCTGATTTCTGTTACAAACGCTATCTTTGCAATATCCTGTCTAATCCTTATAGTAAACCTACCAGTCAGGAACAGCTGTGGGCTCCCTTCTGCAGATACAGAAGCTCAGGCAGAAGTCAGCTGCACTAAGTCAACACAGCTGGCCTGGACACAGGCTGCTCTTCTGGCTCCCCAGGCTGGGTGGTAGCTCAGGGGTTTTATATATTATCATGTAAACTTGACTTTTAAGAAAGTATCTGTCAAGGTGCATTGTGAAAAGCAGGTTATATTTATGGCAGCATATCTACAAAGGATAGACAAGATAAGCACACGTTGGCAAGTAGACATTGATTCAGTAAAAGCCAAAAGTCTCCTACCAGGCCTGGCACAAGGCAAGCTGTGTCACCAAGACGAAAAAACATTTCAGTTGCAGCCTTAGAAGCCTTGGTTTTCACATCCACAAAAGTGTGCACAAATTTTGTATTTTTACAAAGATGCCAGAGATAGCCAAGTTCCTCTTTGTTCACTCATGCAGATTCTCTTCCGGGGAGGGAAGAAAGGACGAAGAGTGGGAGGAGAGGGGGAGAGCAGCCTTCCTCCCCTGACAGTGGCAGTGAGCTCTTTAGTCTGATAACTTTCTGGCTCTAGACTTTGTGCTGCTTCAGGGATCAGATGTATAACTCCTCAAGCAAATGTTTCCTGGCCCTGTAGCAGTATGAAAAATGCCTGTGTTATGATGATGTACACAACCACAGAGCAGGTCAGATAGTGCACGTTTGATAGGATTCCAACCACTGCTTAAAACATAAGAGAACCAGTGGGGAAAAAAGGAGAAACAATCACAAAACATTAAAATGGTACACAGATGGATGATTCTTCTCTAATTGTGAAGGATAGTGAGATTAAATTACCTTTCTATTACAACACTTCTAAGAGAACAATTTTTCTTCTTTTTTTCATATAACGATCAAAAACACAGTCTGTTTTCTTCATGTGAAGACTATCAGCCATCAACAGTACCATCTGACCATGGTCAGGAGAGGTTTTTTTTTTTGTCTTTTTCATTTTTATCGGTACCAAGGATCGAACTCACGACTACCTGCTTACAAGGCAGGCGCTTATGTGGTGCTAAATCCCTAGCCCCGGGAGAGGTTTTTTAATCTTGAAATTTGATTGGATATAAAAATTAGAAAAAGGTCCAGGGGCCTCCTCATTTTTCTTATAAGAAACAGAGCAAAGGATGCTTTGAGCCCTCCGTGGGCTGACATCTTGGTTAAAAATGCAATACTTATTCAGAGCTGGGGATGTCCCCAAATGAACTGACTTGAAATCAGGTTCTCCAAGGGCCTGGGGCATCACTGGGAACCATGCCCACTCAAGGGATGTAGGTGATGTGTGACCCTGGGGAGGGAGGACTAGAGAGCAGGACCTGGACCCTATTGGTGCAGCCTTTGATGTGACATGGCCACAGAGGGGCCCACAGCGGAGAAAGATTTCTAGGCTCACAGGCAGGAGCTAGAGTGGAGGAGTGGCTGGAGAGATGGCAGGCCAGCCTGGGAGATCCGTTGCAGCTGACTGACCAGAGCAGGAAGGCCCAGTAGGCTGACACACACCTTGGGCCCAAGTGACCTTGGCTCCAGCCTTTTTGTTCCTCTCTCTCTCTTCTCTCTCTCTCTCTCTCTCTCTCTCTCTTTTTCTCTCTCTCTCTCTTCTCTCTCTCTTCTCTTCTCTCTCTCTCTCTCTCTCTCAGTAATGGGGATCGAACTCACGACTGCACACTTGCAAGGCAGGCACTTATGCCACTGAGCTAAACTCCCAGCCCAAGTGCCAGCCTTTTTCACTGTTGTTTTTGGAGACAGTCTTGATACGTTGTCCAGGTTGTGCTAGAATTTGCAGCCCTCCTATCTCAGCCTCCCAGCTAGGATTACAGGTGGGCACTGCCATGCCTGGCTCAGGTGTATTTTCTGAGGCAGCTGTGATCCTCTCTGACCTCAGAGTCACAGCCACATGCTTGTGACCCCAGAAACAAGTCATGATCCCAGCCACGAGTCATGGCTGAATCTACATCCCTTCCCGCCACTCTTGCGACCCCTCCTGGCCTCACATCCCCACCTCTCTCCTTATCCAGGGTGGGTCCTAGGACATAGCTGTGCTGGGTGCTTTCGGTCAAAATGCAGCTGGTGCTATGGAGGGCACAGGTTGCAGGAGAAAGAGTCCATATATGAGGTCATATGGGACTAGTGCAGTCCCACAGCTGCCCTACTAGCTGTGTAACTTTAGCCAACAGAGGGATTCTCTGAGTTACATACCACATACACCAAAAGGTCCCTCAGATTTTGGGGTAAATCAACAGCATATTGGGCCTGGCACATAGTGTTCAAAGAGTTTTGTCTGTGTTGTTGTTTTTGTTACTGATTTTTTGTCTTTTTTTTTTTGAGACAGTTTCACTGTGCAGTTCAGACTGGCCTTGAACTCATTTTGTGGCCCACGCTGGCCTCTGACTCGCACTGGTCCTCCTTAGTTTTCCCAGTGCTGGGAGTCACAGGCGTGCGCCACTCACTGGGCTTCAAACAATGTTAGTGCCCTCTGGCCTTTTTAAATTGCCTTTCTAGATATTGAGGAGTGTACTAGGGATTGAGCAAGCTTTTGCAGTGAATTACTACTGCTGAGAAACATTACTACTGCTGAGTTCCAAACAGTCAGTTTTCCAGAATCTTTGGAGTTCCCTGTCTGCAAAATAGTCCTGAGTCACTGGCAGATGACATCTTGAGCCACATGGCCTTTGGTCCTCCCCAGCAAGGCCATTCTTGAAAATCAAGGACATTGAATCACCAAGCAATGAGTCTCACGTGCTAGATGGGACATCTGGGACCTTCCAGACATGTCCCTGTACCTCTGTCTCTCCTCTAAGGACAATAATACCATACCCTGTACATGCAGAAGTAAGCTGCATGGTCTGAGAACATGGCAGCACCCCGATGGGGTGCCACTGGTTCAGCACACGCTGCAAGCCTACCTCCTGGCTTGTGAAGTTGTAGGAAATGTCATTCCTGCCCCTTAGACAGTCCCTGCCCTTTAAACAACCCATCTGGCTGTGGCCTCACTGCTGGGCGATTTAGTTCCCTGATCTCTAAGAGCAGCCCCCAGTGGGTGTGACTAGAGAGGGCGTGGCAGTGACTGCAGCTCTCTGTGGGGTGGATGAAAGAGGGGTTTGCAAAGATCCTGGGTATAGTGGAACTCAAACTGTCGGTGTCACTCCCGGCCGGCAGGAAGGACACACAACAAAGTCTGGCAGTGGACAACCTTTTCTTTTATTTTCCTTCTCCGTACAGCCTGCCCCGGGAATCCTCCCGGCCGAAGCCTCTGTTGGTCCGCTCCCCGCGGCTCCTTGCGTGCTTCTCCCTACAGTCTGTCCCGAAGCCTCTACCGG